GCCAAGCCCTAACCCAGATAATGAAAACGCCATCCCTGTTGAGCCCAACAATAAAAGGGGCCGCCTCCCGAAATGGTCCAAGGAAAGAGCCGATATGAAAACGAAGCATGTTTTGACAATTCCCATGATGATTGTAACACCGAATTGCTGTTTCCTGTCGTGAATTCCAGCGTCCTTGAAAACTTCAGGGCTGTAATATATGACAGCATCGTTGCCAGAAGCTTGCATAAAGAAGTTAACACCACTGGCAGCAATAAGGATTCGTCGAATAGGCCTAGATGGCCTTAATAACTCCTTCCAAACCCCTTGGCCATGCCAGCTACTTGAAGATGGTTCTTGTTCTAAATTTTCAGCAGCCTTTGCCATTTCAGCGAGTCTCACATCAGCTTCCTCTTCAGATTCTGATGTTTTAATTAAAATTCTCTTCGCTTCCACAAATCGGCCTTTCATGACTAGCCAACGAGGGGACTCTGGCATCGCTATGACCCCTAGAACAACAGCAAGTGCTGGCAATGCTGCTATTCCTAGCATCAGTCTCCAATTAAAGTACTCCGGAAGGCTTGACAGTGCATAGTTGGAGATATAACCAAGTAGAATTCCAATATTAATGAAGACTTCAGGGAGCGAAGAGAAAAAGGCCCGAGTCATGGCCGGAGAGATCTCTGCAGTGTAGACTGGACCTATCATAAGAGAGTAGCCGACGCCAATTCCAGCTACTACTCTTCCAGCCATGAGGAAAGGGAAAGATGGTGCTAGTCCCATTAAAATTGCTCCTATCAAAAAGGTGGCTGCCGCCAATACTATTGTATAACGCCTGCCTATACCGTCAGAAGTTTTACCTGAGGCAAGTGAACCAATTAGAGAACATACATTCGGGCTGCCCACCAAGATCTCCACTTGGGATCTTGAGATCATCCCTGATATATAATACTGCTCCACTCATCACCCCAATATTTGCAAGCAAAAAAATTTACCAAAAAAAAAAAAAAAACCAGAAACTTGGCTAGATTAATTAGTGCTCAGATTCTATCTTGCTTTTCTTGTGTGTGGAGATCAAAATTTAGAAGTAAGACCTTCTGCACTTAGTGGAAAATTCAATTGACCTAATTTAAAACAGCTCACCATAACCAAGTAGAATTGAATTTGTGGAGGCAAGAATAGCACCAGCAAGAGCATATTTGTTGAAACGACCCCTTCTATGACCAGCGACCTCTTGTTTAATAGCCTCCTTCTTCCACTTTCTTTCAGTTCTTGTTTCATTTTGCAGATCAGAATCAGGAAGTAGATGGTAGTAATGTTGTTTGTCCAATTCCTGAGGAGAACTGAATTGCATAACTGGAAACTTTACTGCCAAAAGCTGAAACATAAACTCGGAACAATATTTAATACATGTGCTTACTGCTTGACCCCCCCAAACCCGGTTTATATCTATATTATCTCCGAACTTCAGAACATGTTTATATTTTAGTAGAACTCTAAAGAAGGAAAGACGGTTGTTTTTCGTCAAAGCCACTTTTTCTCACAGTGGCTTCTGCCAGGCACGCGACTCCTGCTTTTCAAGTATTAATGAAGTATCCAACAAGAAATTAATAGCTGTCTCCCGCATTCATACTAAAATAAGACAAAGCCATCATGAAAACGATGTCGCTCTGTGCTGAGCTGGACTTGAAGATTTCAGGATGTGTTGGGGTAAAAATAATAATAAATAATAATTATCTAATTCCAACCAGACGAGGAAATCGATGGGCATGAGAAGTCGACATGAGATACTGCTAATGGGGGGGGGGGTGGTCAATTTTTGCTCTCATTTTGATTTTTGAGTATTCTAAAGACCTTTCAACCAACCATGGCTCCTCCTAACCTTATTATATTAGATTTTATAGTTGCTAATTACCAGCAAAAAGATTCAGTATGTGTTAATCAACAAACAATATATATATATATAGGATTAGATATTATGAGAGCATCTGGCTAGGATCAGATGCTCATCAAATTTGATTTAGCTCACCTCATTTGTTGTCTTTACTCGTTTTAAACGTGGTTTGAATTAAGTAGGCAGAGATATGCCTCTGCAATTAGCATATTTGTTTGAAAATTTAAACATTTCCTTAATAGACCAAAAACGTTGCAGCCATGCTTGCTTGCAGGAATTCTGGTTTTAAATGAAGAAGGTATAAATTAAACCTCAGAGATTCCCAGTTCTTCTAAGCGCTACGTAGCTCTGAGTCAGTCAGATTCCTAGGATCTACTAACTATGAAGGTAAGAACCAGCTAGCTTTTAAACAATTGCATATCCTCATTTCCTAAGAGAATGAGCAATGTGAACACGAATCTCAGAAGGAATGTCCTTTTTTTCTATTCTAATATATTTCAGGTGATATATAGGCCCAGCAGAAACCAATCACTGTCAATGAAAACACTTGCAATGTGAACAGCATCTCAGAAGGAACATCTTTTTTCTAATAAAAACCAATCACTGTCAATGAAAACAGGAAATAAAATCCACATTGAATATACTTATTTTTTTCTTTTGTTAACTTTCTTTTGTTCAATTATTATATAGCAAAAATAAAATGAAACTCGTGATTAGGTCCAACAACAAAAGGGAAATCCAGATTTTCAAAAAAAATTTTCTAGTTGGGATTATTCTTGCTAATAACCCACCCAAAAAAAATGAAAAGCAGTTATTTACCGATTGATGCTCCTCATCGAATATTTTTTAAGAGCTCTATTCTATGTGATTTCGATGACAGGCAATTTAGTTATAGAAAAATTTGTTGATCAAAATGGACTCAGAAACGAGCTAAAGCATCAAGGCAATCAGACGCAGGACTGAGAGATAAGAAATCATACCATATTAGCATTAGATGGACTGCATAAAACATTAAAACTGCAATCCTCCTAACAGGGTTTTCAGATTTTGAATTTTGCTGGCCAAAACCCTCTCAGTCCTCTTTTCTGAGAAAAAATCAATCAAGTAATCGGAGAGAAATAATGCAAGAAGGTGATCCGAGAAGCCGATGATGATCAAGGAAAACGACGACAGGTAAGATGGAGGAGAGCTACCATGATAAGGCATATACTATATATGCTTGTTCCTGAAAGGCAAAAACTTGCCTTCCTGTTGCTTAGAAAAAATTATAAGCACTATTAAAGAGGAAAAAACTTTTCAGATTTAAATGTTCCTAAAGGCAGCTCACGGTATTGTGAAATGCCACTGAAGTAATTAAGACAAAGACAAAAAAAATCAATGTTTATTTCTTAAAGTTTGCTTTATATATAGTCAGAAAACTGGCATTCCAGACATTTGGATGGCTTTTAATAAAAACAACTCTGTTGATGCAAAACTTGCTAGATATGGGGACAATGAATTAATAAGGCTTGCAACTAGAATTAGAAACTTGGTTGGCATCCAAACTGACGTGTTGCATTTTGCATGCACAAACTGCAAACAAACGAAAGATGAACTACTTTGGTAGTTTGGTTGCCAGCAAAAAAACAGAATAGTTTCTATAAATGAAATTTGACAAGCTTTTAAAGAGGAGCCTTTGCCCGAATTTGCTGGTAAAATGTCAAGGAAACGAGGAACATGTTTTGTGAAAAGAACGAAGAAAAAATAGATGCTTCCGTCATTAGTCTATCTAGATTCTAGATGCAGGAAAGTAGAAGCTGAGTTGACAAAGGGAAACTCAATGCTTTTCCTTCCATAATCTGAAATTTCTGCAGGCGGCCAAGAGCCTTGAATCCTATTTTTGGATCATCGTCAATGTCAAAAATCCAAAAGCTTTGGAATTTGGAAGTCCATATATATATTGAACTTGAAAAAGATGATGACAAGGAAAGTTCTTGACATGCTTTTGAATCATATGGGACCTTAATTAACTTCAATGCCCTTTTTGGTTTAAGCAACAAAGAAAACAAGAACCGAGCAAAATCAAATGGATGCAAAATGTAAAGTGAATTGTGGTCGGCAAAAAGCCTCCATTCAATAAAATTAATGAAAACAAAATAAAAAAATCAATCAATCACATAAAAAAATAATAATTTAACGTAATTCAATCTAATCAATTTACGATAGATGAAGGATAAAATTTATTAGTTTTAGATAATCACAAATAAACATCAAATCAACCATTAACAATCAATATCTATAAATTTTTACAATCTATTCTAATCTTATAGAATATTCGCAATCCAAATAGACACATATTCATAAACACTCATGCACCCATACTTATATAAATCATCTCAATCCTCTTTAATCTACTCTCAAACATAACATTCATACACACCCATATCTCCAATAGTCTTATGAGTTATCTATCTCATAAAATCATATAATTTTTTTATATTTTTTTTCTTACATAATCCTAAAAAAACTCTATCTATTTATAAATATATAAATTTATCTATTAAAAATCAATTTTCTCTTAAAATTTTTCTGTAACTCAAACTTATATATTAAAAAAAAATTTTAAAATTTTTTTATTATTATTTTTTATTTATTAAATAATATCTAACTAATTTTAAATAAATTTATTATGAAATTTAAGTCATTATTTTCAATAAATTGTACCTTTGAATTTATGATCCAACTTCCTACCTCTGTGAACAAAATCTTAATTCCTAAACAAGAAAGCATTTAATTGTTGTAGATATTACTGCGTCGAGGTCCAGGGAAGACGACGTGTTTATGCCTTGGTTTAGCACCTAAACGTCAAGTGTCAGCTTTACCGTTTTTGGCAACCGCCAAAAAAAAACTAGTGTAAAAATCTTATCTTGCTTTTCTTTTCAAATACATGGAGGCCAATATATAGAGTTATAAATGTTACAGAGAAAAATTGGTGCACGCATCTTTGTGTTTTTCGCTAGGCAAATCATCATTTTATTGTTCAGAGTTAAACCTGAACAAGTTATTTTTTAGGCCATCCAAAATTTAACCCCAAAAAGAATTAAAAAAAGGAAAAAAAAAAAAAAAAAAGACGAACACACGCTTGTATAGGAGATGCTCTCAAGTGGAGGGCACCTATTAATCAATTAGTTTATTTTTCCACTACGAATGAATTCAATAAATTCATTAAGTAGGACAAGTTGCTATTTTTACATTTTTTATCCTAAAATCAGCTATATCAGTAAAATAAGTGTTCATATTTACACAGGCACTGACAGACATCCGTGTTGAATGTTGATAGAAACAATTTATTCGTCCAAGGCTCACATCACCTTCGCATTATCTACATATTGAACAACTTCAGAAGCTATTTCTGAGATCCAGTTAACTGCAGTGCCACAAAAGATTTCCCAAAACCAGAGATCCAATGCAAGGACTGAAGAAAATATAAGCAATGCCAATGTCTGATACCGATTCAATGGCCAGCCAGAAACTTCAGCCATTGTCTTCAAAAATGGAAGGGAACTGCCCTGGAAATCTCGTTTTTTAATGGACCAAGCTGTTATCCACTGGACATGGGAAGGAACCAGGTCAAATTCCTCTCTTAAGCGCCTCCCCAAGTCTGGCATGTGACCACCCCCATACAGTATGGCTATCTTATTATGACCATCATCAATCGCTCTTCTGAGTGCTTCTATAGCAGCTCTGTTCCTTTCACCGATGATAACAGATTTTTGTTCCACATCAGCTGTCACTTGTGTGAACCTTCACAAATTACACTTTTGGGTCATTTTCTTATCAACAATGTTTGTCATATGACATATGTGAACTTGCCTTGAAATGCAAAAACCTACCCCCCTCCCCCCTTTTCCTGCCCAAATACAAAAAACTATAGCTACTAGCAGCCAAAACATACAAATGCTCAAAAATTAAGAAAATTAGTTTCCTCATAAATACTGTATCATTCACTATGACATCTTCAAGCAATTGTAAAAACCATATAGTATAGAAGTGCAAATATTTTGCCAAAACTTACTCAGAAGTTAGTAGCTTTGCCAGGAAAACCTTCATAGCAGCACCAAAGTCAAGCCTTGATAAAGCTTCTAGCTCTGGATAATCAGATGCCCGGCTTCCCACATCCGCACAAACACCACCAATAATGAGAAGACCTACAAGTGGCATAGGTAGCACACGTGAAGCCCAGAGAAGCTTAGATCTCCAAGGATCAAGGTCCTCTGGGATTGAAGCAGACTGCACTAAAGCTTTTTTAGATTTAAGGATCATATCCCTAGCAAATGTAAAGAAGCTTTCACCCTTTTCAAGCTGGACAAAATATGATTCAGAAGATTAGATGTAGAAGCACAATGTTATTGTTGAATATAAAATTGACCTCAGACTTCAAATTATAAAAGCATCCAACACTTTCATATAACCTGAAGTAACTTGAAGGTCTCATAGTCAAGATCTGCATGGTACCAATTATCAGCCTGGTAATCAAGACAATCTAATTGGTAATCAAGCATAAGTATTAGAGCCATCTGCCGCTGAATGCATCCCAGAATGTTGAAACCTCGTGAACGTGAACTTTTAAGCCTTTTTGCAGCTGTAGGGTTCCTTCTATTTTCCAAACTCTCCCTGCTGGCCACCATCTCATACAGGACACAATCATATGGTACAAGTTCCTTCTGGAGGATTTCAAAATACCTGCAGAAGATTAATCATTCAACCAATTTAATTAGAACAATCCACATTAGCACACATAAAAATGTTTTTACATGCAACTGGATATTTTAGCCACACAAGCAAAAGGAAATTGTCATGGAGGGTGCAAAGTCAATCCATTATCCCCTTATGAAGGTTCCAAAAGAAATATTAAGAAAAAAAAATTTTCTATCCTTAAACATATTTTCGTCATTCTTTATGCAGGCAGGCGAAACAAAAACTCAGATTTTCATTAGCAGGTCATATTAATCAATATAATCATTCTTTCCTTGCCTCTTCCATGGGGCATATTCTTATAGCAAGACAAGCACGTTTGTCCTAGCTGTCTACAACCACTTTTTAACATCATTTTCACTAATTATCATCACTGCTCAAGTACATTCATACAGGGTTACAGACTTACTGTCCAAATGATGCTCAACTTCATTCATTTTCTTATTATTATTTTTTTAATAGAACTTCATTCAGCTTCATTCCATTAACTTATAGTTTACCAAATATTTCCATCTACAATTCAGCTTTCTCTTTAAAAATAACTAGAATTGGACACACCCACTATGTGGGTGAAAAAAGAAAAATGTTTTGAAAAAAAAAAGGTTGAATGGTTTTTTTTTTTTTTGATATATTTTAAAAAATAAAGACATATGTTCCCCCATAATTTTATTGACTGATACATAAATTCATCAGTTGAGTTTGGTATCACTTCTATATGGTAAATTAAAGTTTAATTATCTTCAAATTAGGATACAAGTCTTTTGGGTAAAAAATAAATAAAACTAAAACCAGATAAAAATTGAAACCAGATAACTAAGCACAACCCTCCATTCATAATACATAATAATGACAGAAACAAAACATAAATTACTTGTAATCTCACAAAAATTCCTAGTTTGAATTAGCCAAACATACTCTTTATCCGCGATATGAATCGTTGAGACCAAATCAACCTGAACCATCAAGAAAATCCCACAATTAGAATCCAGAAAACTGATTCTTCTTTAAATAGTTAGAATTAGAACCGAAGCTCCAGCGGTCGAATTTGCACCTGAAGAAAAGGGTAAAGAATAAACCAAGGAAACTTCTTACGAAAACTGACAACAGCAGTCTGCAACTGGCCGCTGCCCCTGTGACTCCCTCTCTTGAATCTCATGAAATCCGCTATCGAATTGTTGTCAAAGAACTGCTCCGCCGACCCATCTTCAGCGGACCCGTTCGAGGAACAACGCAAAACCTTCAACGACGGGTATTTGAGAGCTTTTGAGAATCTAGGATTGGGTTTGCAGAGCTTAAATGAGATAGGCCGAAGAGAAGTAGACACGGGAGAATCAGGGCTTGAACTTGAAGGAAATGAAGATGTGGAAGAGACAAGTAACAGAGAGCTCGAAACCATAGTTGCCAGAGATAGAACGAGTGGAATTGGGTTTTTTTGCCACTGAACAAAATAACCTGCTTCATAGTTTTTGAGTGTATTCTAGTTTTTGTCGCACGTGTAATTTTTATTTTTAAAGATTTTATTTTAAAAAATAAATTTTTTTGATATTATAATAATAATGATAAATTTTAATAATTTAATTTTAATTTTCATATAATTTAAGTAAATTTTGATTTTGATAAGTTTTTATAAAATTTTGATAACTTTCATAAAATTTTGATAAATTATGATATAATTTTGATAATCATTAATATAATTTTGATAATTTTTTATAAAATTTTAATAATCTCTTTATATAATTTTAATAATTTTTTAATAACTTATAATATATTTTTAGTAATTATTGATAAAATTTGTGTAATCATATATTTAACAATGAAATCTTTTAAAAAGAGTGTGTTCAGTTTTAATATAAAATAATTTTTTTTATACAATAACATTTTTATTTCATTTAAATTTAGAATTTTTGTCCACTAATTTTTTTTATTAAATAGATTTACAGTAAGTTTATCCTAATCTCTTAAAATAAAATTTTTAAGTCTATTTTTGCTAGTAATCAAGATTTAATTCTTGACAATTTCAAGTTTAAAAAAATTTATCAATTATTAATAATTAAGTTATCATTGATTTATTATTATATTTTCAACGATTTATTGTTAAGTTATCAATGATATACTACCAAATTATCAGTAATTTATTACTAAATTAGCATTTATTTACCACTAATTTATGAATAATTTACTACTAATTACTACTAATTTATAAATAAATTTATACTAAGTTATGATTAATTTACTACCAAATTGTTGATAATTTACTATTAAGTTATTGATAATTTGTTATAAAGTTATAACTAATTTACTATTAATTTATCAATACTTTACTACAAAATTATCAATTATTAACTAATTTGCTACTAAATTATTATTTATTTACAACTAAATTATTAGTGATTTACTACTAAATTTCAATAATTTGTATTTAAATTATTAATAATTTATTATTATGTTATTATACATTTACTACTAGATTATCATTAATTTACTACTTAGTTTCGATTATTTATCACAAAATAATCATAGATTTATCACAAAATTAACCATGATTTATTATCAAGTTATCATTTATTTATATTAAATTGTCCATGATTTATATTAAGTTATCATTAATCAACTATTAGTTATTGATGATTAACTAGTATTAATTATATTGATTTACTTTTAAGTTTTTAATTATTAACTATTAAGTTATTATTAATTTAGTACTAAATTTATTAATTAATTACTATTAAATTGAAACTAATTTACTGTTAAGTTATAATCGATTTATTATTAATTTATTAATTATTTTCTACTAAGTTATTATTTTTTTTTTATTAACTTATCATTAATTTACTAATATGTTATTATGTATTTATAACTATGAAATATGAAATTTAAAAGTCCACTAATAATGTAAAAGATAATTTTCTTTTTATATAATAATATTATTGTTTTATTCAAGTTTATAATTTTTTCACTAATTTTTTATTGACTATGTCCATGGTAAGTTTATCCTAATTCTTAAAATGAAAATTTTGACTTCATTTCTATTAGTACCCAGGGTTCAACTCCTGTCAACTTTAAATATAATAAAAAATATCAATAATTAATAATTAAGTTATCAGTTATTTATTATTAAGCTATTAATGATTTACTATTAATTTATAAATGATTTGTCATTAAATTATAAATGATTTAATAATCATTGTTGGTGATTTACCATTAAATTATTGAAGATTTATTGTAAAATTATATCTGATTTACTACTAATTTATCGATAATTTACTAAAAAATTATTATTTGTTAACTAATTTACTACTAAATTGTTATTAATTTACAACTAAATTATTAGTGATTACGATTACATTATCAATTTACTACTAAATTATCAATGATTTACTGTTATATTTTTATATATTTATTATTATGTTATTATTAATTTACTTCTTAATTTTTAATCATTTATCACAAAATTATCATAAAATTATTTATGATTTACTACTAAATTATTACTGTTTTATATTAAATTATACATTATTTAATATTAAGTTATAAATAATTAATGATTATATTATCGATGATTTATTATTAAATTATATTAATTTACTTTTAAGTTTTCAATAAATAACTACTAAATTATCAATTATTTACCATTAATTTATAATTGATTTATCACTAAATTATTTATTATTTACTACTATTAATTAATTACTATTAAACTGAAACTGATTTAATATTAAATTATCACTCATCTACTATTAATATATCATTGATTTATTACTAAGTTAGCAACAATTAATTACTAAGTTATCACTTATTTTTTTGTTAACTTTTATTTAGTATTATGTTGTTATTCATTTATAATTATATTATAATTCATTTACTATTAAAATATTATGCATTTATTATTGTATTATTACAAATTTATTAAAAAATTACCAATTATTGACTATTAAATTATTACTACTTTACTACTAAATTATCAATGATTACTACAAAATTATACTAATTATATTTAAGTTTTCAATAATTAATTATTCAATTATTAATTATCCTGTTATCATTAATTTATGTATATATATATATATAAATAATTACAATATATGCTAGATGATAAAATACATAAGGTACAGAAAGAAACAAGAAAAAATTAAAGTGTAAATAACTTGAAAAGTATAAATAAATACTTTTAATTTATTATCAGAGTTTAACATGTAATAATACGTTAAAATCATAATTTTTTTATACTAATGCAATTATTAAAACTAAATTAAAATATATGTATATAATATACATTAAGTCAATATTTCTAAAATATTCTTCAAATTTTTAGTTCATGATAAAATAATACATATTAAGATAAACTTTATTAATGGTTTGATTGAAATATTAGTGTATATGTTTTTATACTTATTAGCAAAATACAATTGAATATAAAAAATTAAAAATTTTGAAATGATGTGTCAATAATGAAAATAATAAATTTTGCCTTATATTTTTATCTTTAAGTATATAATTTTGGGTAACAATTTTGTTATAAATGTGATAAAAGTAATGAAAACAAATTTACTAAATTAAATTTATAAAAATTAAACAAATCACAATTTTAAAAAATATTAAATTCATAATAATTACTTTCGCATTCTCCATAAAAATTTTCTTTTACTAAATAAAAATGATGGTATATTGTTAATTATTACTTTATTGTTATTACCATCTTCAAAATAACCTTTTCAATATTTTAATGCTAATTATTTTTTTTTCATTTGGAAAGAATAAAAAATATTATAAGGAGTTATAATAATTCAAATAATATATAACTTTATACTGTCTTTCTAAATGAGTATAAATTATGATATCTATTTCAAATGAAATATTTAAATTATTTCTCTCAACTTATATAATAGCAACTTGATCAACAAATGAACAATTATAAACTCGTTGACTTAGATTAATATTTTTGTAATACGAATTTCAAAATCTCCAAAATAATATTTATCTTTTAATCTCTAAAAGACTTGAATATAAAGATTTTCTTCTAAAATTATTATTAGTATTTCATAATATTTACACTTAAATTTTTATTGTGTTATATTCTCATTCTATTTTAAAATTTATTATCGGTGTCATAAATATATAACTAAAATAACATGAATTAATCAACACAAATTTAAAATAATTTAAAATTCAAATTGAGTATACAAATTTTTTTTACTCATTTTAAATTTTAATTTAATTAAAAATAATATAATACATATAATTATTAAAATGAACTAATTTGACTTGATTTCAATTAATTTTAAAAGTTAACAACTTAGTGGTTATTTAAAATTAGAAATAATTGAATATAACCAAAATCCAAATTAAAATAGTAACCCAATCAAAATTTAATATTTTTTATTCATCTGCTATAACAATTTAAAAGTTTCTTATTTAAGCTTTTTTTTTATCTTTAATGTCTTATTTTTACTGTCTTTATGGTTGAATTAATTAATTAATTTTTAAAAGTATTTTTAAAATGAAATTATAATTATAAATAACATAGTATAATTTTTTATTTGAATTTAGGACGATTTGAATCTAACTTTTTAAATAAAGAGAAACATACATCAATTATTAAGTTAAATTTACTCAATTGTATAAATAAATAATTGAGTACACTATGAATAGAAATAAATGATAAAATTTGACTCAATCTAATTGGTCGTTGATTATAAATATAAAATTCAACTTGAAATTATGAAAAGTCAAAATTCAAAATGATTAAAATACTAAATACACAATTAAATAAATATTTATCAAATAAAATTTGCTAATAAATACTTTTAAATTACTTTTAACTTTAGTTAAATTATTTATAATAATATTTTATATTAAATGTAATAGCGATAATTAATTTGATAAATTTTGATTATTTTAAATAAATATTATCTAATATGGCAATTTTAAAAAGTTGGATACACTATGAATATTCTTAAACTAACATAAAGGAGAAAATGGAGTATACAATGTTTTCTCAAATAAAAGGTTTTATAATAATCCTAAAGAAATTTGAAATCAAAATATTTGTATATTTTTTATTGAATATCATGTGGCACTAACCATTTTTGTGATTTGGAAAAGATAAAATTATACATAACCAATAAATTTTTTATCTCATTTTTCTGCTTAAGATAATTTTTCATTGATGCTTCCATTAATTAAATGTAATTGTATATTCTATCAATTGAAAGATTAATTTTTCCTTTATTTAAAATTTTTTTATACATAAATTTTTACTATATAGAAATATTAAAATACATAATTTGAAAAAATAAAATAAAATAAAATTCCTAACATTGTTACTTGTAACGTTTTATTAAGAAAATTTCAAATTTAAGAATAACAAACTTGTTATGTAATACTTATACAATTTATAATGATTTAATTTTTAGCATTAATAATATAAAATTTCATGAATGAGTGTAATTTTGGTATAAAGACATTCAAAAGATAATTCCAATGAATTTGTCACATGTTAAAAGAATTCATCAAAAACAATTAATTTTCCATCACTTGATTTTTTTTACTTAAAATAATTCACATTAGGTTATTTAACCACATGGATGCAAAAAAAAAAAGAAAGAAGCAATTTAATATAATTGAGAAAGTAAATAATCTTGAGATATAAACTAATCATATATAAATATATTAAGATAAAAGTTGAGAAAAAATAAAATCAATTATTGTTTAAAACAAGGTGAACAATTCTTATAGTAAGTTGAGCTATTGGTAGTAATTATAAAAGTCATATTAAAGTGTAAAAAATGATATATTAAAAAAATTATTTCAATGGATTAAAAAGATTTAATCATATTATCAATGATTAAATGATCAACTCATGAGGTATATAGATAATAAAATTATTATCATACATATATAGTTAATATATTAAAACAAAAAATTGAAAGGCAAAAAAAAAAAAAATGCTTAAATAACTTAATTATGATTATTTTTAATAAATTTATTTATCAACATAAATTACATATACAATTATTTTTGCAATAACTAAAAAAACAAACTTTAAATAATTATTTAATTCTTATGCACATTAAACTTTTACAACGTTCTATTTATATTTTTATTTATGTAAAAAATAAGTTTAATAATAAAAATAAAATCATTTAAATTAAAATTTATAAAAAATAATTAATGATATTTTAATAAATCACTTTTAATATTTTTGGAATTAAATTTTATTAAGGGTTTAGTCAATCAATTTTGAGCATTTTTTTAGTCTAATTATAAAAGAAATAGTCTAATAATAAAAAAATTCATTTAAATTAAATTTATAAAAATTTTTACTAAAGATATTTTTAGTTAATCACTGTTAACACTTTTAAAGTTAAAATTTTAAAATTTAAGTAGTTTAATTTTTTGTAAACTATTTTTTTAATTCTAATTGATTTAAATTAAACTTAAATAAATTAATAAAAATTATATATTTAAAGATAAATTTGTTAATTTAAAAAATTTATAAAAATATTTAAGCCGCTCACTATTAATATTTTTAAAATTCACATTTTTATATATAAATGATAGATGATATATTATTTTCCCTTTTGGTTCGTGGTATTTTGTACGTTAAGGCAAAGTCCTAGAATTTTGTTAGCAAGTGAAACCAGTTAATCTCACAAAGATGTCAAGTAAGGAACACTTGATTAAGTTGACAATTCAATATCAAATCCATCCATCTAATGAAAACGACAGTGCTGTAATTATTCACAATATTGTTTTTCTTTTTTGCTTTTTTTTTTCTCAATAAATAAAAGAATTGTACTTATGCTGAAAAAAATTATTCTCGGTAATCACAGCAAGGAAATCACAAGCTCACACCAAAATGAAGGAACTCAGACATGAATTACTGGTTGGTAAAACAAGACAAAATGAACAGAAATTCCGTAAAGAAACAACCGAAGCATCCACCAGAGGTAGTGGAAATGAAATTTATTACTGCCCTGTAAACCAAATGAATACTCTTATTACATGACCCAAAAAAGAATGCCCTTCTGGGGAACAATAGATATGTATGATTTCATCAATTGTTGCCACCAAGGAATGAAGTAGCAAGGAAATGAAAGTACTACAAGAATAATATAAGCCCACCCACTCAGCTTTTGAGTTCTCAGCAGCAGTTCAAACTAACCGACAAAGATACTTGGAAGAATATAACGGATGAAACCTTCTAGTTTGATTTGACGAGATCCCATCAAGGTCACCAGAAATGATAAAAGAATATATTCATGCTTCTCAGCTTTGATTGAAACCCTGTCTCATTGTGTTAAAAGCCGAATGCCTGCTTCAAGATCTTCTAAGGTTATAGTACCCAGTTCATCAGCGTCTATACAATCAAAATTGAGCCTAAGATCAAGGTTCTCCCTAGCATTAACTAGCATTGGATCAACTAAACCTCCATTCATCTCCTTACGCTGCTTTTCTGTTGTTTCTCTCTCTATTAGTCTTGCTATTGCATCTAAACTGCAAGAACTATGCAACTTAAATCCATATAACAAACTCTCCTCTGTTTGATTATTCATCTTGATATGGAGGATCTTGGCTAGTTCTTCAGAGTTGAAGTCACTAAAATGAAAAAATTTTGTCACTCTTCTGCAGAACCCTTCATTAGAAGCAATTACACGCTTCATTGGTTCACAATACCCAGCAAATATGACTACAATTTTTCCACTGTCCATTACAGACATGATCTCTTCCAAGGCCTCCAATCCATAGTCCCTATCATCTGCCTTTTGCATGGGTATTAACCGATATGCTTCATCAACAAAAAGAATTCCTCCCTCTGCATCTTGGATCTGCACATGATCAGTCATAAATTATTTCATTTGAGAAAGCAAAATAATCTAGTTTGAGAAAAAGCACACAAAAAAGAAAATAAGAAGGACAAGGCAACACCTTTCTCCTTGTCTTTGGCCCAGTGTGTCCAACAAATTCACCAACCAAATCTGTCCGTTGCACTTCTATTACCTTGTCAGTAGGTAGAATTCCCACCATATGGAGTAATTTCCCAAGAATCCGGGCTACCATGGTCTTTCCTGTTGAACATATAATCATCTCCTCGTTCATACTTACCAAACATCATGAGACATGTGAAACCAACATGTTTCTAGAACATCACCAAAAGAAAAGTAATCCATTTCAAGACATGCAATCCAATAGCATTTACCTGTCCCCGGATTGCCAAGGAATGCCATATGAGGAGGCCTTCTGGCACCAACTTTCAACCCAAGGGCCCTGCGTCTTTCATCCAAGAGCATTCCCTTTGCCCATTTCCGAAGTTGTACTTTCAGCTCATGCAAGCCCACGATATTGGACAGTTCCTTTTCAAGTTCATCCATCTTAGCCTTTGTTTCACCACATGCTTCAAGCGCTCTTCTCTTGCGCTGCTCTTCAAGGTGCCAGTGCAATAGTTCGCTTAACTTCTCACTTCCAGGGCCTTTTGAAAGATGTTTTATAGGAGTCATTCCCTCCTGCAATGCAAAAGTAAACTAACAATCACGAGTTGGTATAAAGACAAATCAAGCAGAATGGAATACACCAAGCAAATGCAATGAATATTACATTGTCCTCAGCCCTGCAATCAGCATTGTACTCAAGTAGTGTCTTGACAGTTGCATAGTCATCAGATCGAATCGAATACCAAACAGCAAGGTGTAATGGTGTCATTCCATTCTGCATAAATGACATGGATGAAGAAAATCTTCAATAGAAGAAAACTTTCCATCCAGTTCTAATCACATACAACAACAAAAGGAAAATAAAGAGCGAAAAAACAGCACATTAGCTTTGGCTTCAATGAAAGCACCATGAGCAAGAAGCAATCGTGCTGCCTCACTACATCCATTCTTGGCCGCCATATGCAATGGAGTTTCCCCATACTGCAAAAGTCAACACATAGAACTCAGAGGAGGAATCCAAAAGGTCCAAAGCAAGGATCCTTACTGGATTTTCAAAGGAAGATTTTATGCAGTTAAAACATCAACATATTTAAAAAAAGACAAAATAAAATGTTTACCTACCATATTCTTGGCCTCCAGCTCAGCCTTTGCTGGTCCTTGCCAGTCAAGCAAATACTTAATTATCTCAGCCCTATCATATCCGGCAGAAACATGTAAAGGTGTCTGTGCCATCTGCATTTAACACCAAATGAAATCAGTATACCTAAGACTAAGATGGAATAGATTTCATATGTGTGTGCACACTGACATATACATATATCTGTAGTAGTTATTCAATTTGATCTGTCTAATTCTTAGAGGAAGAATAGTAGCAATAATCATGTAAGAAGCAGCTTATAATTTAAGTTCACTTTTAGAAGCTCAAAATCAAGAATGAAGCAGTCATCGTGTGCCATGAGTCCATGATGTACAACGGCCAAAAACTTAAAGAAAAAGGATAAAATAAAATTGCTAACAAGCTAAGATAATAAAACAGGGAAACAACAGTTTTGCACTTGCTACTTTGAACAGGAAAAACATTTGTTATAAGCAATGAAGCAGTACAATATTAAGTCAAACTGTCAAACAGAAGGCCTAGGATAGCTTCATCCAGCATTTGAAATCGCCTCACATGCTGTCAACAGGTTCTATCATATTTATGGTCAACATCTTATAACTTCCCTTTACCACCATACTTTTGGCTTTTCGCAGTAAACTTAGGATATAAGTTGAATTTTGCATCAATGAATGATTAAAAGACATTTATGCTTGCTTAAGATGATGATTTCATGCCCCAACCGAACAGCATTGTTAACCCATTTCTCTACCCCATCCATCATAATATATAACTACTAGTCGGTGTCACCCTCAACCTCCCTTGTGCAATAGACAGACTTTCTTGCTTACAAGAAAAAACCCTGGATCACTTTTCATTATTCCTCGAATTCATAACTGCATAGATGCTAAAACAAGATGCCATGGTTTTTTTTTATTTTTATTTTTTATAATACTATACTTTATACCATCAATAACAACCTACATTAAGTAACTGAATATCGTAAAAACAACTAATTGAGACAGATATTAACGATGCACAACTTTTTCGATACCTAAAGAATTGCCCAAGTAAGTTCCAGTTAGATCTAATTCGTCCACTATGGACTCTGTTATTCTTTATTCCAAAAGAAAAATATAGAGAAAAAAAAAAGAGAAAAGGGTAAGAAATGTAAGTCTTTCATTGATCTTAAAACATCAAAATTTAACCAAAACTAAGCCTAATCATCCAAATTCATGCATCATTTACGAACTACTAACAGGGGGAAAAAGGGTAAAAGAAAGAATCTGACAACAGGGTTTCTCTCGTTGAGAAGAAAAGGCTTGTCCTTGAGCAACTTCTGGAGACCAACAAGATCCCCGGATTGAGCAAACCCATGAATGGTGGTGGGCTTGGCAGATCTCAACCGTTGATCCTGAAGCCTCTTCATCCTTTACAAAAAAATAAAAACGTTGTTCCTTGCTTCTTTTTCCCTTTCTGAAGAAGAAAATTGAAAGAAGAAAGAAAGAAAGAAATTGAGAGGATTTTTAGTACGAAGAGGGACGAGTCATTGGGATGCCAAAATGGACATAAAATCCACCCCGAGTCCGACGCTCGCGTCTGAATCTGACACTGCTTTTTCTTTAGCTCTTCCCTCCCCTTTCCTATCTATTTTCCTTCGTTTTCCCGATTTTGCGGGGTGTGGGTTTACAACCCTTTTTTTTCCTTGTCTACCGTGGGCTCGAGCCTCTCATTCACCGGTTTGCTTCCCACTTGCCACCGCCCACATCCGGTAGTGTCCACCTACTTGAAAGCTGTCAATAATTATAAATCAATAATAAATAGTACACTTTTTTCCTTCACTTATTATTCAATAACAATAAAATATTATATAATAATCCATCACTTATTAATATAAACTCTATATATAATTTTATTAGATTTTATATAATTTTAAATTATAATTAAGTGATTTTAATAATTTTAGATAAAATACCAAAATTTTTATCACGTTTTAAATGTCTTTTATTTAATTACTAGGAGAATATATTTTAATTTTTTTAATTATTTGTATGGAGATAAACATTTTAATTTATTTATAATATTTATATAAATATATTTTTTATGCTTTAAATTATAAAAAAAATAATTATTAAATAAAAAATTTAACATTTTAATCTTATATAACTAAAATTTGAGTTTATAAACCGTGTAGCACTTGAAAAAGAGTGAAACATAGTCAAATCCTGTCAAGTCATCCATATAAATATATTAGATTTTTGAATTTGCACTTAACTCAAATTATTTATTTTTTTTAAAAAGTAAATTCACCTAAAGTTGACGTTTGATTCACGGTACTTTCAAAATTTTCTACTTTAATTCCTCTTAAATCTTGACTTTTATATTAAAAAAAGGGAAATGATAAAAAATTCAAAGGCACGTGCCTACTGCCTAATGGAAAAATAAAAATAAGGATATGAATTGTGAAATGCAAATAGCATAATTTTAAAAAAATTAAATTTAATACTTATTTTGGAGTATTATTTTGTTTTTAATCATTTTATTTCCAATAATTATAGGATATATGACAAATAAAAAATTTAGAGAAAATTAAAATTTGAATGTAAAATTTTTAAAATAAGTTGTTAACAAATTTTTTTTTTGTTTGTTAAATTATAAAATAGTTATGTTATAACATATTTTTGTTGACTTTGAATAAATAAAAATTTAATTTATTCAAAAAAAGTTTAATGCAATAGTCGCTGGCGATGAACATTTTATTAAGCATGTATGTTGTTTCTTAAGGTCCAAGTTGTTTCAATTAATTGAAAATTCATAAATTTTCTTTGCTGTAAAGTTTATTTAAAAATAAAAAATAAAAATAAATAAATTATTCAATCTTTTAAATCAAAGTAAAATATATTATACTTAATAATTTAAAATAAATAATTATAAATTATATATTTAAAATAATTTTAACAAATAATCACTAATAAAATTCAAATTTAAAATTTTTTCATAAAAAAAATAAATTTAATCAATTAAATTAATTATTTGTTAATTTATCTGCTGTAAAGTTACAAAGTATTAATGTAAACAAGGTGTTTTGGGAAAAAAAAAAGAAAGAATGGAAACAAGGTACAATCATTCATTTTTCTGGGAATACAAAAAAAAAAAAAAGGAACAATCATAAAGACTCATTACTTATTTCTAAAGCTTGGCGTCACTATCACTTTGGCAAGCATGTGGTTGGGAAAACGTGTAGAATATTATTATTGTATACAAAACAAACACTAATTATTTTTGCATAGTTAATCAGGATGAAATTTTGGAAGTGAACGTGCTTATGTTCTTCTAAAATCAATTAATTCAAAATTCACAAATTTCTTTGCTGAAAAGATTCTGAATGACAGTCAGATGGAGAAAAAAAAAAAAAAAGTGTGAACAAGCAAACGCAAGAAAAATGGAGGGCTCCAGAAGAGGCTCTAGCTGGCTCAGCTTTGGTGGTTGAAGCATCGGCTGTGAGAGAAGCGGTTAAGTTAGCAAAGGAGCCGGGTTTTAGCAAGGTAAAGATTGAGACAGATTCAGAGGTGTTAATACAGGAGGGAAGTGACTAAGGGGAAAATGGTGAAGTGGCAAGAAAACCAATTATGGAGGATAAAAAAAAGAAGAAATAAAGTTTTGCAAGTAGAAGTAGAGAAGAAACTATCATGATTTATTTTTTTAGGGCTAAGTAATATATTGTAAATTCTATAATTTTTTTACAAAAAAAGTCATACTTATCCATTTGAAATATTTAAAATAATATTTAATTTTCATTTATTATGAATTAATGATATGTGATTATCATTGAATCATGTCAAAATTTTGTGCTAATTCTCACGAAACTAATACTATTTTAATATGTTTGCTACAAGTGATATTAATTAATAATATTAAAATTTTAGATTGTGTTTGGTATATAAAATTATAAATAAGATGGTGATTATTTTATATTATATTTGATTTATATATGAAAAAATAGAATTATAAGAATGATTAATTATTTTTTTAGTGTAAAACGATGATTTCATCTTTCAAAAGTAAAAAAAATTATTTTTATTCAATGAGATTAAATTTATATGTATTATTATATACTTAAAAATTATATTAATAATTTAAATTTATATATTTTTAAAAAATAATTTTAATATATAAATAAATTATTTTATCATAATATTTATACATATCAAATATAAAATAAAATAATATTATTTAATTTAATTTAATTTATTATATTATTTTATTATAATTTTATATATGAAATATATCTTTAAAGTACTTATATTAACTATCAATAATTATTAATGATAGTGATTTTAGTCAAAGTTATTAATTATAAGTATTTCTTAAATTTTAGATTTGTGTCTCATCATAAAATTTAAATTCTATCCAACTGTACGTATTTTTTAAAAAATAATAAAATTATATACTTATTTGTTTATGTTATGTTCCTTTTAGTTTTTCAAGCACCTAAAAGGTTAAAACTTTTTTTTTCTATATTTTAAATTTATTTTCATAAATTTTTTATTTTTTGATATTAAAAATTGTGATATATTAATTTTAGTACAAATAATTATAATATTAAATACTCTAAAATTATTTTTTAAAATATCATGAAAATTAAATAAGGATATACATTTTGAGATGGTGGGAGTATGGCTTGACTGCGCATAACTGAAGCCAACCTAAGCTCTCATGGAATTTTTTATAATATGGTTATGACATGGGTATTTTTGAAATTTTATCTAGGTTTAATTTATTTATCGAATAATTTTAAAAGCACATATAATGCTTTATAAAAAAATAAAAAACACCTATGATGCATTTATAATTTTCTTTTGGAAATACTTACCAAAAAAATCGAGTCTATAAGCTCTCTCCTTGACCAATTAGAGTAATAGTAAATTTTTTTTTTCCGGATTTGTCGGTCCAAAACCTTCTATTACGTGATTAGAATCAAACAAAGTTAGGCTTTTAAGTTTGATAAAACGCTCTAACGAATCTGCTTTTTTTTACTATTAGTTTGAAAAGGAGAATTCAGAATTTGATTCTTCTCTTGGAATAAGGGCTGTGAAGCTGCAAAGGAAGTGTGGGATGAGGTGACAATCGATCCTGCCTGGATAAATACATGTTGTGATGAGGACAAAGGGTGGCACTCAAAAATCTCCGAGGTGGTTGATAAAAATAGCTTTGAATATGGTCTGATAATATGCTGGCCCATTTGGAATAGCATAAATGTCCAGCTTAAAAATAATGAGAGAAGACATCCGAATAGGACAACTAACTTCCTGGAGGAGTTTCGACAAGCCAATGCAGCAAAATCAGATAGTGGATTAAAGGATCATTGTAGCACCAGCCCCTTTTCTTATGAAGGTAAATTTTGATGGTGCCTTAAAATGTAATGGGCATTAGGGTGGCTGTAAGGGACAATGAAGAAATAGTGTTAGGTGCGGTATCAATCATGGAGAGGGGGGGGGGGGTAAAGGAACCTACCGTGGCAGAAACTATTATATATGTATTGGGTAGAGGAATTTCCTCCCATTATCCAAGAAATTATTACTGTTGACTGTAACCATCTTTGAGTATCAATGATAGTTTCTAAAATTAAAAAAAAAAAAAACAAAGTTGATTGTGAACTAAGCTTTTAGTTTCATAATTTAGCAAGTATTTGTGACAAAGGAGTCGTAATTACCATCGACTAGAGATGACGGTCAAATCCTCGGCTGCTTTTGCGTATTGTCTTCATGGTTATCCCCACAGTCAACCAAAATGAGTCCCAAAGTCCTAACTTGCTGCTGGTCGTTAATGGTTACTATTTAGATTACGTACTAAACCAAATTGAGTTGAGTACCCAAAAACCCAACCGCCCAAAGCCAAAACGCAAAAGCCTAAAATACATGGCGTAAAAGCGTAGCCCTCCTTCGGCTTCCTAACCGACAAGGAGAAGCCGACCCACGACACCACGTGTCGTCTAAAAATGCACCAGATTTGGTTTCTTTAACGTGTGGTCATCACACTCATCCACCTAAGATTCGTCTCAAATCCATCTCTCCGATATTTTTTAAATTTTTTTATCACACAGTTATTACCTTATTGTATTTTGTAAGTTCAAAATTTGACTGCAAAAATGCATAAATTGGATAATTAGGAGAAAAGTGAACAGAGAATTGTTGTACGTGAGAAACGATTTTTTTTTTTGTTTCATTCCCATTAAAGTTGGAAGTTGGAACTGAAACGTTCAGTTTTTAGTTCCAAATTTCCAATCTCTTACAAAAATGGCGGCAGTGACAAAGGTTCACTTATGTACTTTCCAGAAAGACCAACAGTTTTGTTTCAAGGAGCAACAACGGAACTGGCTTAAACAGGGTTGTTTTGTACGGTTACCTGTTATAACTAGAAACCGTTATGGGGTTTACGTGCAAAAGTGTCGGTCGTTTAAGGGAGAAGATGGAGAGGAAGTGAAAGAGAAAGAGATGGAAAGAGAGAGAAAGTATGGGGTTTTAATGGAAAATGAAGTGAAGTTAGAAAAAGGAGATGGGTTTTGGAAATCTTTGAAATCTACTGTTTTTGGGGTTAGTAAGTTCGGTTCTCAATCTCAAGATGAATATGAAAAAGCTGTGGCTAAAGTTGATGAAGTTTTCTCTTCGGTGAGTTATATGTAATTGTCAGTTGTGTTTAATTAATTGAATCTCTCTCTCTCTCTCTCTCTCTCTCTCTCTCTCTTTTTGGATTGCTTTTGGAATTTGTTCTATAAAATTCAAGTTTCAACTATTTTTATTATGCTTTATAATTAGTCTGGTAAATGAGTCTATGCAAGTATCTTAGAATTTGTATAATTGGTTAATTTCCAAGTAATTTATGAAAATTTACTCATTGCTGGGTTTCTAGTGTTGGCTGATATGAGCTATAGGGCTTGTTGTAACATTTCAAAATTATTTTATCCAATATTGATCTATATAAACACCGGTGCAACTTGGATTTAACCTTTGGGTTTCTCTTATGAACCAGATTGCTATCCAAATAGGAAGATATATTGTGACCATGATGAGCACTGGAGCGATACTCTTGACTGCTTTTCAGTTGTCCGGTTAGCCAATCTACATTTCGTACTTGTGGATATTTGAATTGATTTAGATGCCTCTCTTCAAGGAATGATCCATCTCTGAAAGTTCAATATTTCTATATATAGGTGGGGACAGTCAGATGGATACATTGATTTGGTATAGCTGGGTTGGAGGGATTATCATTGGAACCATGACTGGAGCTAATATGGTTCTAGATGAACACTGTCGAGCCGGTCCAAGAAATGTTGTTATAACTGGAAGGTACAATATATGGTTTGCTCATGGTATTTGATTTTTAGTTTCTTTGGTAAGCTTTACTATCGGTTTCACTTAAGACCTGAAGTCATATTTAGTTACTTAGAAACAGAATTTTACATAGGTAAGTTGCTAATGGATCTGTGATACAGAGAACTTACCTTTTCCTTTTTGTGGTTGTTGTTTTTGACTGGTCTGATGTAGCACAAGGGGACTGGGAAAAGCACTTGCTCGAGAATTTCTTCTTTCGGGAGATCGTGTGGTTGTTGCTTCTCGCAGGTGGAGTACAAACTCATAATTAACCCTAGTTTATGATACTTTACATATAATTTTTATCAATATGGTTCTCACAACACCCTATCCTTATTGGATATTGTGAAGACAGTCCTGAGTCTGTTCATATGACTGTCAAAGAACTTGAGGAAAACCTGAAGGAAGGTATGACTGCTGGTGGTGGTTCATCTAGCAAGAATCTGGAACAAGCAAAAGTGGTTGGCATAGCATGTGATGTTTGCGACTTCAATGATGTTGAAAAATTGGCCAAATTTGCCACCAGTGAACTTGGTTCTGTTGACATTTGGGTGAGTTATATAGCCTGATGTTTGTAACTTTTTTCCCTCTCACTCTCTTGCATGCCATGCGAACACATGCATACAAGATGCACTGCAGTGTCATGTTAGCATGTCGATGCTTTTGGGGAATGGTGTTAGGTCAAATTTTGGAGGAAATTGAATGACCTTATGATAATTATGAATTATTCTTGACTCAAAACCTTATGAACCATAATGAAATCTGTATTGATATTATTAAACTGAAATCTTGAACCTGCAAGCAAATAGCTCTTCACAAATGGCCATTTCCTATTCTGTTTGGGAGGTTTAAATGTATTTGCTTATTATGTTCTTATAGATGCTGAGTTTATAACAGTTGTGCATGATGTGGGACTATTGATGATGACTACAGCGATTGTTGCATGTTTGATTATCTGCAATTTAGTTCTGTTTGTTGGGGTTGGACAAAGAAGTGTGCAAAATACGATGCACTTTGTGATTCTGATTTGTTTTTTCATCGACAGATAAATAATGCTGGCACTAACAAAGGTTTTAGACCGTTGCTACAGTTCACTGATGAAGATATTAAACAGGTATTTTTGATTTGTTAGATATGTTACTTGAGCAAATCAACCTTTTTGCATTTCAATAATGTAGAATCCTCTCTAATTCTCTGAAGCTTGTAAGGTTCCCTAAAGTGTAGGAACTGGGATATTGAATTACCTGTTCCTTCTATTTATCATTTTCTCAAATTTTTCTGCCTGTAATTAGTGTGTGTAACACAACTAACCAAGAGCCAATAGCCAACTAGTGATTGATTTTCTCTCACTGTAATTCGTTTATGAAACACAAATATTTAAGTCAGATGCACGTGTCACGGGTCGAGACTTAAGCTTCGAATCCGCGAGGCTCCGGGACCCGGGCATCCACTCGTTCGACGTCCCGGATCAGCTTGACCGCCATGGTTCATACCTTTTGTGAGGTATTGTCCACTCTTACCCTTTGGCCTCATGGTTTTGTCTTATAAAAGGCGTCTCACAAGGAAGAGGTGGTGTGAACCATTTTTATACCTCAGTGACTCTCCTATTATGTTCGATGTAGAATTCAAGACTCTTCCTTAAGTCCGTGACATATGCACTTTGATACCTAGTGGCTGAAATGGCTTGTAGTATATGATTAACAAGATGGCAGTAGCTTGTCTCTGACTAGCTGATTATGTGGTAGATTGTCTCAACAAACCTTGTTGGTTCTATTCTCTGCACTCGGGAAGCCATGCTCATCATGAAAAACCAGCCGAAGGGGGGGCACATATTTAACATGGATGGTGCAGGTTCTGGGGGATCTAGCACTCCTTTGACTGCTGTGTAAGTTGCCATTATTTGTCACTGTAGTTAGTTCTTTTTCTCGTGGGCAGCCACTTATGTCTTGCACCAGTAATGTTTTTGAAAATTTCACTCAACAGATCTCAAAAATTTGTGATGTTTTGAAGTTTTCAATAGTTAATGACGATGATTACTCTCTTTATTTTCACAAACTTCTAGATATGGGTCAACGAAGTGTGGTCTAAGACAGCTTAATGCATCACTTTTGAAGGAGTGCAAACGTTCTAAAGTAGGAATCCATACAGCATCTCCAGGCATGGTCCTTACAGATCTGCTCTTAAGGTATGTTGGATACATCCTGATTTTTGCGAGGCAGTCTCTTTTATGCATCTGTTGGCTTGCTCAGCTCATCATTGCAAGAGGTTGCAACTATTTATATACCTATTTTGAACATGTAATTTGAGTGTTTGACAACGTAAACTTGCCGGATCCAATTTGCGTTTAGTGACTTGTCCCTCACTGTCATTTTATTTTGCATGATACAAATAGTTATTTCTGGATAAATGTGCTATTGTTGTTCAATATTTGTTATGCTCTTTTGCAGTGGTTCAACCATTAAGAATAAACAAATGTTTAATATAATCTGTGAGCTTCCCGAGACTGTTGCTAGAAGTCTAGTTCCAAGAATGCGGGTTGTAAAGGGGACAGGGAAGGCCATCAACTACTTGACCCCACCTCGGATACTATTGGCTTTAGTCACTGCCTGGCTGCGACAAGGTCGCTGGTTTGATGAACAGGTATTCTTGATTCTCTGGGGAAAGCATTTGTCACATAGTTGCAATCATTATAACAAAATGGTATCCAGCAGCTAATAAATCCTGTAGTAAGGGAATGTTTGGACTCAATTGGCAAAGTTTTGTTCTTAGAATCCTTTTAATTAAATCAGCTGTATGGATGAACTGATAATTCAAGCTTTAAAGATACTCCACATCTAAAGCCAGCCTCATTAATGATGCGAAAAGTCAGATTTTTATAGCTCAGGCCACTTCTCCTAATTTTCTATGCTGCATGGTCTTTTGTCCTAATCCCAGTTTCTGGCACTAAAGCCCCTCTTTGCTTGAATTGATTGCATTTCGGTGAAATGGATGTTGTCATTCTGATATTTAAACTGTTGGGACATTGAACATGTTTCCTCTTTCCTATTTCCCAAAATTTGGTTTGAATGCAAGCATGTGTATGTGCAGGGCAGGGCATTATATGCAGCAGAGGCAGACCGAATTCGAAATTGGGCTGAAAACCGTACTCGGTTCTCATTTACAGATGCAATGGATATGTACACAGAAAACACTTGGGTGTCTGTGTTCTCACTTTCAGTTGTTTGTGCCTTCATTATCCTTTCTAGTACGAGCAGCACATTACCCGGCACCTGAGACTTCGCAGTCATAATCCGAAGGCATCAAGACTACAGTATAGCAGTGCTCTCAGTGAAGGAGCCAAGTATGATGCCTGTCGTTGTAGAAGTGACATATGGTACGATTCTAAAGCCCAAACAGCCGTTTTTTGGTTGGTTTTTTTCGCCTGCAACCTCTCAGGATAGGCATTTATCTAACCTCCAACTCATCGGTTTGTCTTACACATAAGCCCATATGTTTTGACTTCCAAGTATATGAATACTGGTTTGGACAAGATTTATGGGTTCTGAATACAGTAGCAGATAGACATTAGATTTTTATTGAAGCATTTTTTATTCCTAAACTTGTAACATGTATTCATGTAATGAAATTTAGATCCTTCCTTTATTCTTACTTGCTAGTATTAGATGTTAAAAACCATTCTAAGAGCACTCTTTCTGCAAAGGGCTTTTTACTTGTTTCCCCAGTCCCCACGCACAATTCTAGGCCCATAGGTTCCCTTGCATTGCTTGTTTATTGCAGACTCGGCCGTGCCTTTTGGGTTGGATGTGCAAAAAACTCAATCAGAGATCAAATAGCAGTGTTTTTAACATAATAGTGACCGCGAAATTGCGAAAGTGCTACCACCCGCTATTGTTATAAAAAAAAATACGGTTGAAAAAATTAATCACACTTAAAATGATATTATTACCGTTATCTCGTTTTTTCATTAATACAAATAAAAAAAAAAAAAAATTCAAGTTTCAACCCAATATGGTGAGATTTTAAAAAATCAAAATAAAATAACTAAGATTACAAAAGCAAAAGTAAAAATAAAAGTCAAAAGAAAAGATATCTCAGTTAGTTAATTTTATTCTCATATTCTCAATTTTAAAATTCATCTAAAAAATATTAAAAAATAGTATTAACTATCAAACATTCAATCGACAATTACCTTAATTCAAATCAATCATAAATCTTTAATTAACAATCAAAATTAAAGAAGATAAGAAGAAATTAAATTATTTTTTTTTTAAATTTTTGTTGAATAATGTTGATATTTGTGTTTGTGAAAATCTAAGTAAGAAAGATGAGAGTATACGAGAGAGAGAGATGCAAAAAAAAAAAGGAGTTGACTGAATTGATTTGAGAAAACAACGTCGTGAAAAAGGTTGAAGATGAACAGAAAAAATTTTAGAAAAAATTTTAGAAAAAATTTAGGGATTGTTTGAATGAGAATCGGAGAGTGGGGTAAGGTGGGAGGTCTTGTCTCAGATAGAATGATGGGGGGGGGTTGGGATTTGGTGGGGTATGGTGCGTTGGGGTAAAGTGGGGGGGTGGGGTGCATTGGGCAAGGGTGAGGGTGAGTGGTTTTTTATTTAATTTTATAATTAATTTTATTAAAATATAAATTTATAAATTTATAATTTTTAAAATTTTTTTAGATAAAATTTAGTTAGAGGGATTGAGATTTTATAATTGAAAAAATTAAAAGATTAATAATTTAATATGATATATATAAGGATTTTAGATGAAAAATTTTAATAAATTTTTTTGTATAAGTTAAATGAAAAATAATTAAAATAAATATTATATTTTGATTTTGTTATTTATTAATTTATAATTTTATATTTGAAATTTAATAAATTTTTTGTTGTTTTGGTATTTATATTGTTGTCAATTCTTTTGCTATTAAACTAATTCTTATTAATTTATTTTTATTTTTGTATAATTATTGAATATTCTATTTATTATAATCTAATTAAAATTGTGAATATTTGTTTTTTAGAAAATTAAAAAAGTATCATAAACTATTTTAAAAATCATTAAATAAGAGTTTTTATGATTATAATTATAATTATAATTATTATATTTTATAACAAATTGTGTAAAATTAAAAAAAATTCACGACCGCGATGATCTCGATGACCGCAATAATCTCCGTTGTATCCGAAAACGTGATAAATGTGATATGACAAAAAACATGACCACAACTGCTATTTAAATGCCCGAACTTAACAGCAAAAGCCATTATAAACAATTTGAAGAATAGTATTAAAGTCAAGACCCATGGGATTAAAACTTTCGTAGTGGACACCTTACTCTCCAGCCTTAAGCCTGTTGAACCATTCGAAACAATAAGTCAATGATCCCCAGCAACTTCAATCAAATTTTTTTCATGATGTCTGGAAATGCTAACCCGGTGTCATGAGCCAACCTTGTATAGGGTCATGACTGGGCATAGGTTGTTATGTGCCACCCATGTATAGGGCCATGACCATGTAGAGGTGCCAAGGGGAAGAGTAAATATCATGTGTTAGGAAAAGTATCCCTATTTTAAGCATTATAATGGTTGTAGGGAAGACAGCTATAAAATCTCATTTGCTCTTTAGAGGGGGTGAGCAATCGGCATATTGTTGGGTTGCCTCATTGGATAAGGTATGTGCTAGATCACCTATCTAGGCTGCCCCTTTGACCAGACGATGGTGGGAAGATTTGATGTACTTTTTTTTATATTAATAAAAAATATATTTTTATATATACGGGAAGGCTGAAGTCACCTTGGTGTGTTCCCATTTTGCCCTAATATAATGTTGTGTATGCTTGAGATTGACTTATGACTTCTTGGTTGCTTGTTCAGATATTAAACTATCCTTAGCTGACTTGGGTGAAAACGTCTATTCAAGTGTCGCACGATCTATTGCTTGATTGAGAGAAAGCATAGCCCGTGACACGTGATATTAGACCACGGTTGAGAAGTGCTAGAGAATTGATAAAATGGCAACGAGTGGTGGATTCAGTGATCAACAAAAGATTGAGGAGCTTGAGGCTGCGGTGGTTGCCCTAAAAGCTCATGTGATAACTAATAATCGATTGAGGGAGATCGAGACAACCCAGCGGGAGTTGTCTGATGCTCTACATAACTTGGGCAAAGGGACCAAAGATGCTTTAAATGTCCTCTAAAGAGACTTTGAGGAGCTTAGGGCTCAAGTGAGTGTTCTGTAAATGGCGGTAGCCAGGTCAGATGCTAGTTCGATGGAAAAAAGAAAAAAGGCCAAAGTGCCAAAGCCTAGATGTTATGAGAGGGCAAGAGATGCCAAAGAGCTTGAGAATTTCTTGTTTAATATGGAATAATACTTTCGAGCTGTACACACAGAATAAGAGAAGAATAAGGTTACAATGGCTTTAATGTACCTTGATGGTGATGCCAAGTTATGGTGGTATTCAAAATTTGTAAATGATGAATGTCCTATTAAAACTTGGGCAGATCTTAAACAAGAGTTAAAGAACCAATTCTTTCCTAAGAATGTAAAGTATATAGCCTGAATGAGGCTTCAAGAATTAGTGCAAACAAGAACGGTGCGAGAGTTTATGAGGAGCTTTTCTATTATGATGTTGGACATTAGAGATATGTTCGAAAAGGATAAGATGTTCTATTTTTTTGAGAGCCTCAAACCTTGGGCCAAGGTAAAATTACAAAGACAGAAGGTGCAAGATGTGACCATTACCATGGCTGTTGCTGAACGTCTTCATAATAATGATGATGGTCCCTTAAAATGAAAGAATCCTTCATCAGGTGGCAGTAACTCAAACTTTAAGAATGAAAAAAAAATGGCTAGAATGGATGACCCTTTAATAGGAGATTTGATAAGAGGCCTTTTGGTCGAGACAATACATAACCCAAGGTAAACAATGTATTATTTTTTAAACTAAGGCAACCACTAGCTTGCTTTTTATGCCAAGGGATGTATCGAGTGATTGAATGCTCACATAGAAGTGCCTTTAATGCTTTGAGAGTCTCATTTCAAGAGTCTACTAAAGTACCCGAAACAATCGAAGAAGTTACAGATGAGCCAGCTAAGATGGGCTCAATATGATTCCTTAATGCCTTTGTACTTAATTAAATTTGATAAAAAAAAATCGAGAGAGACTCGATGTATGTGGACCTGATAGTAAATAGGAAGAACACAAAAGCCATGGTAGACATGGGTGTAATCGATACCTTTATCACACCAGAAGAAGCAAAAATGTGTGGTCTCAAAGTTAATAAAGACTGTGGATAAATAAAAACAGTTCATTCACCAGCCTTTACGATCAGTGAGAGCTCCAAAAGTGTGATAATCAAGTTGAGGCCATGAAAAGAAAATGTAGACTTCACGGTCTCCCCTCATGGATGATTTTGATGTTGTCTTAAAATTAGAATTCATGATGTTGGCTCAGGTAATCCCAATCCTCGTTGCTAGTTATCTATTATTCTTGGGAAAACGTTCATGTGTTGTACCAGCCATGATCCATCTTAAGAATGAAAAGAAAATAATTTTAGCCTTAAAATTTAAAAAATGATAAAGACATACAAGCCCTTATATGTGGCCATGCTAATCTACAAAGAAGGGACTGAGTTGGAAGAGGTACCAAATGAGGTGAAAAAGGTATTAGAAGAATATAAGAGTGTGATGCTAGAGCAATTGCCTAAAGTTTTACCTTTTCGAAGATTAATGGACCATGAGATTGAGCTTCTTTCGAGAGTCAAGCTACCAGCTAAAGCTCTCTATTGCATGGCTCCCCCCGAGTTAGCTGAATTAAGAAGACAATTAGATGAACTTTTATAAGCTGGGTTCATTAAACCATTAAAAGTATCATTTGAAGCATTTGTACTATTTCAAAGAAAGCATGATGGGAGTTTATAGTTGTGTATGGATTATAGGGCCTGGAACAAAGTCACTGTGAAGAACAAATATCCCATCCCACTTATTATAAATTTATTTGATCAACTAAGCCAGGCTAAGTACTTTTTCAAATTGAACTTAAGATATGGCTATCATTAGGTCAGAATTACTGAAGGAGATGAGCTAAAGACCACTTGTGTAACGCGATATGGTGCATTCGAATTTTTATTATGCCTTTTTGGATTAACTAATGCCCCTATCACATTTTGTACCTTGATGAATAAGATGTTTCATGACTGCCTTGACAAGTTTATGGTCATTTATTTAGATGATATAGTGGTCTATAGTTTTACCCTGAAGAAGAACTAAGGGCACCTATGTCTTGTGTTTCAAAGATTATAAGACCACCAGTTGTATGTTAAAAAAGAGAAATGTGCATTTACTCAGACACGAATCCACTTTTTAGGCCACATTGTTGAATAAGGTCATATTCGAATGGACATGAAAAAAGTTAGGGTTATCAAAAAATGGGTAACACCAAATAATGTCAGTGAATTTTGCTTATTTTTATGATTTTTTAATTGTTATAAAAGATTTATAGAAAGGTACTATCGTAAAATCATTGCCTTACAGAGCTATTAAAAAAAAGCACAAATAGTGTTGGACAAATGAATATTAAGAGGCTTTTAAAAGATTGAAAGAAGCTATGATGAAAGATCCTATCTTGGCTCTTTCTGACATTACGAAGCCTTTTAAAGTTCAAACGGATGCATCTAATTTTGCTATCGATGGAGTACTCATACAAGAATGACACCCGATAGCCTTTGAAAGTCAAAAGTTGAGTGAAGCTGAAATGAGATATACGACTCAAAAGAAGGAACTTTTAGCAGTAATTCATTATTTAAGAGCATAGCGACACTATTTGTTGAGTTCACAATTTGTCCTGAAGATAGACAATGCAACAGTTAGTCATTTCCTCACTTAGTCTAGACTTACGGTTAAACAAGCTAGATGATAAAAATTTTTAGTTGAATTTGAATTTTATTTCGAGCACACAGTCGAAAGAACCAATTGAGTAGCAGATGCACTGAGTAGATGAGCTGAGTTGGCTGTTTTTAGAAGAATAGCTCCAATGACGACTAGTAAAATCACGGTAAATGTTCGCAAGTAAGTTGAAGATAATCTAAGAAAAGATTCGTAGGTCAGTACCATCTTAAAGTTAGTAAAAAAGAAAAATCCAAATACTTTTGACAAGAAAATAAGGTCTTATTGACAAAGGGTCTTTGATTGTTTATGCCAAAAATATGAGGTCTGAGACAGATGCCAATGAGGGAATGCCATGACACACTATGGGCAAGTCATCTTGGTTGACAACGTACTTTGGCTCTACTAAAACAAGGCTATTATTGACCTCATATGCGGTAAGATGTGATGGACTATACTAAGACTTATCTCATTTGCGAATAGGATAAAGTTGAAAAAAAAAACTAGTAAGCTTGCTTGAACCACTACTTGTGCCTACTAGACCTTAGAAAAGTATCTCTCTTGACTTCATATCGGGTCTTCCCAAAGTTGGCGATTTTAGTTCTATTCTGGTGGTGATCAACTGCTTTTCAAAATATGTCACCTTCATTCCTACCGAAAAGTATTACACTCTGAAAGACACTGCCCGATTGATGTTTAAACATGTAATTAAGTATTGGGAACTTTTTTAAAACATTGTTAGTGATAAGGATCCGAGATTTATTGGATCATTCTGGAGAGAACTTTTCAAGATCTTGAGATCTCAACTTAACATATTTTCAAGCTATCACCCATAAAATCGATGATCAAACTGAACGATTTAATAGGTTATTGAGGAGTACTTGAAATACTTCATTTAAGCTAATAAGAAGGATTGACCTTCATTATTAGATGTAATTTAACTTTGTTTTAATTTTAATAAGTGTTTTTTCACAAACAAGAGTCCATTTAAAATGGTCACAAGACAACTACCAAGACTATCATATACATTTTTGAGTCGTATGAAGGGAAAAATCCATGAGCATTCAACCTCAGCAAAGAATGGAGATAAAATACAGAAATTACACAAGCATACTTGGAGAAAGCATCAAAATGCATGAAAAAGTGGGTCGATAAGGGTCGGAGGTACAACAATTCAAAGTTGGTGATCTTGTTTTTGTCAGACTATTGCCCGAACAAATCAGGTTCCTAAAGAAGCAAGATCATAGGTTGGTTTGTAAATATGAGGGTCTAGTGAAGATCCTTTTTAAGGTGGGAAATGCCTTTTATAAAATTAACTCACCAAAATGGATGAAGGTGCATCCAGTGTTCCATGTGAACAGCTTAAAATCGTTTCATGTAAATCCCACAGATGCAAGTCACAAGGAGTTAACCAAGGCTACCATCACCATAAAACCACCATCAAAACGTCAGTTGAAGAGATTTTAGTTGACAGAGTATCTAGAGTATCTTGAAGAATAATTTATGAATATTTAGTGAAGTGGGAAGGCTTAGGACATGAGGAAACTAGCTGGGAAAGAGATCCTGACCTTTGAGCATTCAAGCGAAAGATCAAAAAATTTCAGGCCAACAAGTTGACGATGACGTCAATAGAATAGGTGGAGGAGGATGACATGAGCCAACCTTGTAATGGGTTATGACTAGGCATAAGTTGTCATGTGCCACTCATGTATAGGGCCATGACCGGATAAAGGTGCCAAAGGGGAGGGTAGATCTCATGTGTTAGGAAAAGTGTCCCCATTTTAAGCATTGTAATGGTTGTAGGTAAGAAAACTATAAAATCTCATTTGTTCTTTAGAGGAGGTGAACAGTCAATATATAGTTAGACTGTCTCACTGGTTAAGGTATGTATTAAATCACCCTTCTAGGGCTGCCCCTCTGGCCCGATGATGATGGGAATGTTTGATGTACTTTTCTTGATATTAATAAAATATATTTTTTTATATATACAGAAAGGTTGAGGTCACCTTGGTGTACTTCCATTTTGCCCCGATATAACGTTGTGTATGCTTAAGACTAACTTATAGCTTCTTAGTTGCTTGTTTAGATATCGAACTATCTTTGGTTGACTTAGGTGGAAGCATCTATTTAAGTGCCACACGATCTATTGCTTCATTGAGAGAAAGCATAGCCCATGACACCCGGCCAGTGACTTCTATCTGTTAGTTGAGCCTTTGAATTCCAAATGTTATAATAATAATAATCATGTAAAGACCAAAGGGAAACAAGATTTTGGTCTGTACAACATTTCAAGAGACCATTCGGAAGACAATGGTAGCAGAAGGTAAAAGATATGCTGTCATATAGGAGAATAGATCTTCCATGGAATCATTTGAGTTAAATAATTAGAATCCGCATTGATCATCATCATCATCATCATCATCATCATTTTTTGTGATATTATGTTATAGTAACAATTTCAAAAATAAGTCCATTTGATTAGCTAAATGGCTTTGACGCCAACTTTGCAAGCGTTGTTGGTGCCAATGAAAGGTAGTTCCAAGTTTTAAGCATTAACATGTATAACGTAGTTTACTGTTAGCCACTTGTTGTGGAGCTGCTTTTTTTCCTCTGTTTTTCCCCAAATGGAAATCTAATGCTAGAAACAGATTTCAATATAATTAAAAATGATGCACCATGCCACTGGGTTCAATCTTTGGGCCGAAATAACGACAAGAAATGACATTTGATAGCTATTGTTAATCAGAAAATATTAATTGAATTTAGTATTCCAGATTTGCATTAATCTTGATTTGGTTGTTCCGCTGGATATATATATATATACGTTTGTGTGAAATGATTTAAGATTTTGATTCTGTTGAGTAAAAAAATGTGTCTAGTCCTAACAAGCCTGCAGTGTCAGCTCACAGTCAGGTTTGAGCACATCTCTCCACCCACTAAGTATTTATAAGAATTCATTGCCGGCAGCTTACTTCTTCCTTCCTGGATCCTCTCAATTGAGAAACACAAACCATATGTTTATTGCCAAGAACAAATTACATTTTCATTGTTTGGCGTTGCCTTGTTGTTAGTGGGATTCATTTTTATAACCTTACTGACAAGAGACGATTTTGGGATTCATTCCTCAAATGTCAATATAATCAGAATTTATCTGAAAGTTGAGACAAGTTCAGGTTTTGTATGCAAACCGGATGGCTTAGTTTTGGAGGCAAATATATGCTAATGCTGGAATTCTGGAACTGACACGATAAAATCCACAACCACAATTCAGATTATGAAATTTTTTGTCGTAAAAAGTCTTCCAATATTATTATTATTATTATTATTATATTTCTAATTGTAGCATTTTATTATAATTATTACTACGAAACACGTACATCCCCATCTTATTGTTGCAAGCAATTAGCTGTTGGTTTCCAGCTGGCTTGCCTTTTACTTGGAGTAACAACTATCCTATCACTTCGATTAAATACGCTTCACATGTGAAAAACAAATATAGATAGTATATAAATCTATACCAAAATGCTTTACCTTATCCGTTACTTATCCTACAGTTATTAATTCCAAAATTGCATTTCTAATATAATTGCATATTATCAATTAACTATTTCGTTCTCTCACCAATTTAGCATTGATATTACAGGTTAAAAAATATATATATTGCAAAAATATGTTTAAAAATATGATAAAAAAATATAATTTAAAAATTTTTAGTATTTAACATTATTTTGAATGATGAATTAAATGTCTTGAAATATATGTATAAAATAATAAAAGTTTAAAAATATTGAAACAATAAAATCATTTTACTTAACAAAGATTGAGGTTGATTGTAAAAATACATCTTTAAGATTTTTTTTATATTTAAAATTATCAAAATTTAAATTTTGATAATTAAAATTAAGAATTAAGCAGTTTATTAACAGATTACATAAGTTTTGGCTTTAGAAACTTTTTAATTTGGGTTTGTAAATTAAAATTTTAAATAAATAAATACTTTTTGTTATTTAATAATAAATTTAAATTAAAAATTTTTTTGAGTGTAAACGTCATTTTCAATCTCAAATTAGCCAAAAAGATATATTTCACCTCTAGCCTTACACTTTTATTTCATGACATTGATTTTGAAGGCAATGTAGCATTAACTTTTCAATCATCATCATCTTTAGGTTTCAAACTTAATCTCGGAGCCCCATTTCTTAAATACTACTCACTCAAACCATTTATGATTAAGCAAAAATACAAAAAATCATTTGTAAATATGTCATCCTTTTAATTAATTAACATTCTTCTTAGTTGCAAGCATTGATGCCAATTGGCTACTTTAGAAGAAGTAACATCTAAAACGATGCGGAGCAATTGCTAAGAAAGACTGAATCCTGAGGAAAACTGATACGACCGAATTGGAAAGATGCTTAAGACCGTAAATTCGGCATTGAGCCATTGACGAAGGAACGATTTCCGCTACATGTGTTCGTCCTTTCCTTGTCGGAAGTTTCAACGCTGCCAAGACTACACATTGAGCTAATCTTTTTATTTATTTATTTATTTATTTTTGCGTTATCATGAATCCAGAGAAAGACTCGGGAATTGGAAAATTTTACAGCTTTAGTATCAATGCCCAACAAGGAAAAAAAAAAAAACTTTTGAAATTTGAGACTGCATGGATTTCATTTGTTAGGCTTTGGAATCGAATTTGAAGCCAATTTCTTGGCAACTCGATCGGGGTTGGTGCTGATTGGATAGCCATCTAATCCAAACAATCTACCATGATTGATTCTGCAATTCGTAACTTAAGTTGGTCCAATCATAATCAATAACAATTTGTTTGAGAGAAAAAAAAAAGAAAAAAAATGATAAACTATTTGAATCCATTCAAATTCGACCTATTCAGGTGAATTTATTGCTATAAAAGAAAAACTTGAGTTTTGATCGAATTGGATTTATATAATCAGCTGTCACTTGTCCTACCAACCTGAATTAATAACTTCAAAGACGGTTCACCAGTGAAACAACTCTTATAAATTACGACATGGACAAAAATTCAAGCCTCCTGTTCTATAATTATTATTGATCATATCAAAATTATAAAAAGGAAAACAAAGCTTGAAAGAATGCAAATCCGAATTAGAAACTTCCAAAAACACAATAGCATAAGACGAGATTTTGAGAAGGATCCAAAACGAGTAATTTAATTACATATAGAAAACAAAACATCCAAAACGAGTTTGGTAAGTAGGGTTAAAACCGCGGGCCAATTAGGGCTGTAAACGAGCCGAGCCGAGCCGAATAATGAGAAGCTCGAGCTCGAGCTCGACTCACAATTCGGGGCTCGATACTCGGCTCGAGCTCGATCGAGTTTTATTTTTCAAGCTCGAACTCGATTCGTGATCGAATTCGAGCTATTCGAGCTCGCTCGATTAAGCTCGATTAATATATAAAAAAAAGCTCGATTTTTATACTCGAAAAAAAAACTCGATTATTCGAGCTCGAGCTCGAGCTCGAGATCTTTTACAACTAATTTTTATCAAACCTAATAAATATTATATTTTCAAGATAACAACAACAATAACAACAACAACAATAATAATAATAATAACTTACACAACAATCAAATTTAAGCAAATAAAAGTCTCATTAAATGATTCAAATACAACACACAAATATAAGACATAATGAAACTTAGAAATTAAAATCCTAATTGAAAGATAGTAAATATCCAAGCAAATAAGTTCACAAATAAGTTACAACAAACCAACAACAATACATATGCTGCCTTCACAATATTATGTCTTCAAATGAACATTGGGCTCATATTGCTTTTCAATAAACCTATACAAAAGAATAATTACAAAACAAAGAAATTATAATTAACAATAAGAATAACGATAAAAGTACCCATGCAAGAAAAAGATTGTAATATTATTACAATGATCAATAACTTTAAATTTTTAACATTAGCATCAACATGGATTTTATCTTGTCAGTTGTCTTATAATCAAAGCAAAAAAATATAAACAATATCTTGTCAATTACCTTAACATGAGTTTCTATCATTAGTTAACCTATGGTTCGTAAATTATAATGCAAAAAGCTCAATCTAGACTAGCTACTACCTATTTTTCTTTAGTAATGTTGTGACAAATTAAAAGTATTTAATAATAATATTTCATACCTGTATAGAAGACATTAGATATCCTCACTTTAGGGAATTTTGAGTGCAATCTCAATTGATTTCTTCTCTTTCTACATAGATAAAGTAAAGGAAAATAATAGTTAAAAATTAGATTAAACCAATGATAGTCACCTAATAACAAAATAATAATAAAAAAAACTCACTTTGTTCTTCTTCTTCACTCCATGAAGATTCCGACACCAATCTCCTCCACAAAGTAATGCTTGCACTGTGTCAGGAGATAAAGAAGCACGATAAGTATCAATAACTCTACCTCCTGCACTAAAGGTAGCTTCTGAAGCCACTGTAGTGATAGGAATAGCAAGTATATCCCGAGCCATCTTGGATAAAATACGATACTTCAAAGTGCTCGCTTTCCACCATTCCAAAGCATGAAACTTAGTGGAATCTCCTTCACAGATAAAACAGCCCTCAGCTAGGTAGACATCTAAATCAGACTGTTGTGGTTGAGCAGTTTCAACTGATTTTACATAATTTGCAAATTCAAACCAACCAGAAGAAGAAGCTTCTATATTCATACCACTAATACCATTATCATGTACTTGAGTTTCAGCACTATGCTCATTGCCAAATTGATACTCACGAGCATATTCATCATAAATCTCATAAAGGGCATCTCGAACTTTAGCAATATTTTCTTTTGCTTCTCTATCAGGGTACATTCGAGGAAAGCAAAACTCAATCACCCTCATTTTGCACCTTGGATCCAAGATTGCTGCTATAGACATCAACAAATTACATTCTCCCCAATATTTATCAAATTTACTCTTCATCTTACGAACCATTGCTTGAACAAATTCATTTTCATCATTCATCCTTTTATCCAACAACACTTTCACACGATAAACTTCATTCAGAAACAGGTTTGAAGTTGGATAATCACTTCCAGAGATGATTTTAGTGGCTGAATTAAAAACTTCTAAAATCTCACAAACTTTCTCCACCTTTTCCCAATCTTCATGACTTGGACAACATTCATAATGAGATTCTCGCTCTTTGAGTCTCGAAAACACTTCTTTGAATTTGATTGCAATCGACAACATCTCGAATGTCGAATTCCAACGTGTTTTACAATCGAGAATGAGTTTCCTATCAGGTAACTGTAACTGCTGTACTATATCAGAAAATGAGTTAAGTCTTGCCTCATTTTGATTAATAAAACTGACACTTTCATGAACATCACCAATCACATTCTTAATCTCAGAAAGGCCATCTTGAACCATGAGATTTAAGATATGTGCACAACACCGAACATGAAATAATTTTCCTCCACAAAGCAACATCCTATTTCTTGAAAAAGTGTCTTTAAGAATTCTAATCGCCACATCATTGCTTGAAGCATTGTCCACAGAAAGTGTAAACACCTTGTTTTCAATTCCCCATTCCTTTAGACACTTAAAAATACAATCAGCAATCTCAACACCGCGACGAGGAGGAGGTATGTGAACAAAACTAATAACACGCTTTTGCAATCTCCAATTAGAATCTACAAAGTGTGCTGTAAGAACCATGTACTCAATCTTTTGATTACTTGATTTCCATAAATCTGTTGTCAAACTAATCTTGCTGACAGTCTTCAACAATGCCTTTAATTTCTTCTTTTCTGCTTCATAAACTTGCATGCAATCTTTTTTAATAGTATTGCGTGATACCTTTTCCCATTCAGGCATCCCACGTTTTTGCATCATGTTAAAACCTTCCTCTTCTATAATCGAAAAAGGATGCTCGTGCATAAGTATCCAATGTGCAGCTGCTTCTCTCATCTTTACCATATCAAACTTGCCATCTGTGAGAGCAGGTAATATCTGTACATCACCACATGTGTTTACTGGCTGAAAGTTGATCATTTGTTGTTGATTCTGAAAAATTTTTCTCTTAACACAAGTTGTCAAATGCCTCTTAAATTGAGTTGTACTTTTACTTGTATTTATTGCTAGCTTCTTCTTGCAATGGACACACTCTCCTTTTTTGGAACCATCAGAAAGAGTGACTTCTTTGAATTCTAACCAAACAGCAGATGTCTTTTGCCTCTTTTTCTCATTACTTTCTTCACACTCTTCAAGGTCAGCATTATCACATTCTCTATCATTGGCATCAATGATTGGTGTTTTATCTGTGTTACCATTAGTGGCATCTAAAGCTTCATTCATTGAATCATTACCATCATCTGACACAATTCGACTAGTAAAAGAATTTATTGTCGGCTGAACTGGTATAGAAGAGATATCTGGTGTGGTTGATGACATGTTTAGTTTCCTATAACAAAAAACAAAAAAGACAAATCAAAACAATAATATAATTTTAGGATCAAACAATAATGCAAACAAGTTGTTAGAAACATGTGCGATAAATTTTATTGCCAGAAACATGCTAAACAAGTTGCGAGAACAAATTATTGGAAGAGTATAAAATTTTATTCTTTGGAAAAATATACTAATATTGTAGGAATTTTAATAAATTTAAGATTACCTACTTCGATAATAATTTCAATTTCTAAAATCAATTTCTTAAAATGAATATTTCTTATTAATTTTTACAATTATACATGCCTATTTAATATTTATATAACATTAACTCAATCTCATTAGAAATAAGTGTCAGGTTATATTCTAACAAATCTAATATGCATAAAAAAGAAAAGTATTCACATTAAACAGTCCCCAATAAATTAGTGATGAACTATATGGAAGCTCAAATTATGATTATGACTAAAAACAATAGAGCCAATGACCTTTTTTTTTGTTAAATAATATGAACCATCCAAAAGTTTTTCTACTGATAAAGCGTATTGTGCAAGTCTTGAAGTGGCCCAAATTCAATTACTTTCTTGCTAATAATATAGAGACTTTTGGTTTACAAAATTCAGTATTTAAATGCAACTTCACAAAGAACATACTGCTTTTCACAAGTTTGCAACAAAAATAAAAATATAATATGATAGTGTTTGACAAACAAATCAGAATTGAGAATATCAATACTAACAAATAGCTATAACACCTTGCCCCATTTCATTGTTGTTCTCGATCTGCATCCCCACAATATTCATAAGGGTATTTAATTTAGGCATTCATAAAGGTATTTAATTAAGGCATTCTTATTTAAACCACCTTTTAGCATGAATTGGAAGCCTAACATAAAAACATTTAATAAAAAAATGGCACTCAAAAAGTATGTCATGGAGAAAAGGCTACGTTGAGGGATCGGGTTCTGTTCAAGCTACTGCAAATGTCGAATGGGTGGAACGAGCTTACCTTTTAGAGAGAGGAAAAAGGGCTACGTTGAGGGATCGGGTTCTGTTGAAGCTGCTGCAAACGTCGAATGGGTTCTGTTGAAGCTGCTGCAAACTGTTGAAGTTGCTGCAAACGTCCAATGGGTTCTGTTCAAGATCTGTAAACTATTGAAGCTACTGCAAACTGTTCAAGATATGCAAACTGTTGAAGCTGCTGCAAACTGTTGAAGCTGCTGTAAACTGTTGAAGCTGCTGCAAACGTCGAATGGGTTTTGTTCAAGATCTGCAAATTGTTGAAGCTGCTGCAAGCTGCAAACGTCGAATGGGTTTTGTTCAAGATCTGCAAACTGTTGAAGCTGCTGCAAACGTCGAATGGGTTCTGTTGAAGCTGCTGCAAACTGTTGAAGCTGCTGCAAACTGTTGAAGCTGCTGCAAACGTCCAATGGGTTCTGTTCAAGATCTGCAAACTGTTGAAGCTGCTGCAAGCTGCAAACGTCGAATGGGTTTTGTTCAAGATCTGTAAACTGTTGAAGCTGCTGCAAACTGTTCAAGATCTGCAAACTGTTGAAGCTGCTGCAAACTGTTGAAGCTGCTGCAAACTGTTGAAGCTGCTGCAAATGTCGAATGGGTTCTGTTCAAGATCTGTAAACTGTTGAAGCTGCTGCAAGCTGCAAACGTCGAATGGGTTCTGTTGAAGCTGCTGCAAACTGTTGAAGCTGCTGCAAACGTCGAATGGGTTCTGTTCAAGATCGGGTTATGTTCAAGCCTTTTAGAGAGAGGAGAAAGGGCTTTCGAAAGGGTGGAACAAGCTTGGAAGATGGAGTGGGATTCGGGAAGAAAAGCCGCCGCAAGTAGGGCTGTTGGTGAGTGAGAGAGACGGGGAGAAAAACTGAAGGAGAAGAGAGAAAGAAAGAAAATAAAATTTTAGGGTTTTTTAAGTTAAGGGTAAAAAAGTAATTTTATAAATAAAATAATAAAAATAAATATATAATAGAAAAGCTCGATTAGGCTCGCGAGCTACTCGAGCCGGATATAAGAATACTCGAATTCGGCTCGATCGATAAGTCGAGCTACTCGAGCTCGAGCTCGACTCGATAATAATCGAACCGAATTCGAGTTTTCTTCGAATCGAACCCGAGTAGCTTGCGAGTACTAATGTATCATTTACACCCCTAGGGCCAATCGCGTCAAAGGGACCCACTAAACAACTCTTTGTCCTAAACTCGATAGCAAACCAAAGAACACAGGCATTTTAATAGCAGCAACAATAGTAGCAGTAACAGACAATTAACTCCGCATCTCTTTTTCATTTTTTTCCGTTATCTGAAAAGCTTCCAAGCAGGGCCGGGGCCACCAGCATGTGCCAAAAATACTACTAGTACGACTGCTTTCAAACTTGCTCAAGCTTATTTTCTTACCAAATCAAATGCTTCAGTCGCCCGAAACCCAATTAATCTTTTTTTTTCTTTCATTTTTTTTCTCCTTTTTTTCTTAAAAACTTCCCCCAGACATTACTTTTTTTCACTAACTAAAACCTAAAACAGTTTTTAGTTTTTAGGTTTTTCACAGCCCTTCTCCTTTTTTTTAGAGACAAAAATGTCATCACCATCACCAGGGGCTACCCCAGCCCCAACATCACCGCCATCAACCAATACTTCATCCCCACCGCCAGCAGCCGCCACAACTCCGCCGCCAACTAACACGCCCTCCCCACCACCCGCCAATCCATCTCCATCTCCACCTCCAGCCACCCCATCAGCTCCTCCGCCTTCAAACACCCCATCCCCTCCTCCCTCTACGTCATCACCTCCCCCTTCTTCCTCTACCTCCCCTCCGCCTCCTGCCACCACATCTCCACCCCCATCATCATCCAATCCTTCCCCTCCGCCTCCTTCTACGTCAACCCCATCGCCACCAATCCCGAGAAGTCCGGGGACTTCATCGCCACCACCATCTTCGAGGAGTTCGGGGACTCCGTCTCCTCCCCCGCCGTCGTCTTCGTCTGATTCGGGCAGTGGGGTGTCGACGGAACTGGTAGTGGGGATAGCTATAGGAGGAGTGGCGATATTGTTGGTTTTGAGTTTATTGTTTATATGTTGTCAGAAGAAGAGGAGAAGAAGAGATGAGGAAAGTTACTATGTGCCTCCTCCACCTCCAAGGCCTAAAGGTCAGATCTTTTTCATATTTCTGGAATTGGAATGTTAATAGGATTTATGGGTATTTTATTGACTTTGTTGATGTTTTAAATAGGAAAATTGGGTTATGTTTATTTTCGTTCTATTGCATTAAAAAGATGGCTTTTTTTTTTTTTTATCATTTTGGGTTTGCATGGTTTTTCTTAAAAAAAAAACAAAAAACACATTTTTATGGTTTTGAAGATTGATCTATGATTGGAGTGAAGCAAATAGTATTAGATTTTTTGAATCATATATTTGGTGTTTTACATATACATTGTTGTTAGTGCATTTGCATGAGCCTCTTCGATTTTGATTGGATCATAAGGAAGGTGGATAACTTTGTAAATGGCTTTCGCTGGAGCTGTCATATGATCAAGCTTCAAGCCTTTGACTAATTAAACCTTTGCTTTTGTTCACACTACTTCCTTGCGCCCATGATGTTTCTACTTGAATTTCAGTTTGACTGAGTTTGGAGATTTTATTTTATTTTGGCTGTTTGGGAATCATAGAGGCTGATGCATATGATAATTGTAAAAGGATTTTATCAACTTCTTACTTGTAGCCCTGTTAACTCCGACCTAGGTAATCATAATTCATAGAGCTTGTTGGCTTTTTTTCTTTATTTTCCCAGATGATCCATATGGTGTCCAGCAGTATCAGTGGCAACAAAATCCTCCCCCGCGTGCGGATCGATGTGGTGCAGTGCCTCCAAAACCCAGTCCTCCACCAGTTACAGCATGGCGACCTCCATCTCCAGGACGCTCTCCTACACCTCCAATGCCACCTTCTCCACCACCCCCACCTTTCATGAGCAGCAGTGGAGGTTCTGGCTCTAATTATTCTGGTTCTGAAAACCCACTTCCACCACCCCCACCTGGTATTGCATTAGGTTTCTCAAAGAGCACATTTACCTATGAGGAATTAGCAAGGGCAACAGATGGCTTCTCAGATGCAAACCTCCTTGGACAAGGTGGTTTTGGATATGTGCACAGAGGAGTTCTCCCAAATGGGAAGGAAGTAGCAGTCAAGCAACTGAAGGCTGGAAGTGGGCAGGGGGAGAGAGAATTTCAGGCTGAAGTTGAGATTATCAGCCGTGTTCATCACAAACATCTTGTCTCACTGGTTGGATACTGTATCTCTGGGACAACAAGAATGCTTGTTTATGAGTTTGTTCCAAACAATACTTTGGAGTTTCACTTGCATGGTAAGATTGTCTTTGAAGTTGCAGGTCGTAATGCTTCTTTGAAGTATTGTGAATGCTAATTGATGTTTGATTCATTGGGTAAAGTGTTCTGATAGAGAATGCTACTTGCAGGAAAGGGGCGACCAACCATGGATTGGCCAACTAGGATGAAAATTGCTTTAGGATCTGCGAAAGGACTGGCATATCTTCATGAAGATTGTATGCTTTCTGACTCTCTCACTTGCATACTTGCTCTAGATGTAGAATTTTAATCTCCTACTTTGTGGTAACCATTATAAATGTTTTCAGGTCATCCTAAGATCATTCATCGTGATATTAAGACGACTAATATTCTTTTGGACTTCAAGTTTGAGGCAAAGGTATTGATTTCATTTAAATACTCCTATGTAGAAGTTTGGATACAGTAGTTTTGAATGTGACCGTCTTGCTTTATTTGGTTGCCCAAACATATATGCATTTTCTTTTCTCTCACAATTGTCATTGAGATAATGGATGAAACTTTTGTTTTCAGGTTGCTGATTTTGGTCTGGCAAAGTTTTCTTCTGATGTCAACACACATGTCTCCACCAGGGTGATGGGTACTTTTGGGTAAGAAGACCTCCTGCAATCTTGTTGCTTGGTACATAGGATATGTGATAAAAATTGTTTTAGTTGTTTTTCACTCACATAATTATCACTATCTCCAGGTATTTGGCTCCTGAGTATGCTTCAACTGGAAAACTCACGGACAAATCAGACGTTTTCTCCTTTGGGGTCATGCTTTTGGAGTTGATTACCGGACACAGACCCGTTGGCTCTTCTAATATGGAAGACAGTTTGGTGGACTGGGTTAGTTAGTACTTTGGTCTATGATGGTCTCTCTGTACAAGTGCACACCAACATGCATAAGTTTCATCTACATTTTCTTCTGCCTCTCTCTGAATCAGTTGCAGCTACAGAATTCTAGATATAAATTTCTTAGAATCTTTATTTAAGTAATTCTGATTTGGCATTGCAGGCTAGGCCTTTGCTCACAAGAGCTTTGGATGATGGAAACTTTGACAGTCTGGTTGATCCAAAGTTACAAAAGGAATATAACCACAATGAGATGGGTCGCATGGTTGCTTGTGCTGCTGCTTGCGTGAGACATTCAGCACGACGTCGACCACGAATGAGCCAGGTAATTGGTGTAGTGAAATTTCTTTCAAATATCATTTTGGGTATTGAGATTCAATTCTAGTTCTGCCATGTCTAGTTGATAGGTATAACTCTGAAGATAGATTGATAAGATGATCACATAACTGTGACAGTAATCCATCTCTATTAATGGAAATTTAATGGGAGAGATTGCATATTACATACTTTCGGATCTTCTTTGTATGATGACTATTATCAACCAACTTAAGAATCTTCTTTGTATGATGACTGTTGTCAACCAAGTTGGCTCAAGTGGTGATTGATGGTTCATGAGTGAATACCATACTTTCTGTTAGACATAATAGTTACTTTCATGTTCCAGTCCTTATCAGAATGACCCAAAACTTGTAACCAAGCAGATAGTCCGTGCTTTAGAAGGAGATGCATCATTGTCTGATCTCAATGAAAGAATGAGACCTGGACACAGCAATGTTTACAGCTCTTATGGAAGCTCAGACTATAACACAAGCCAATACAATGAAGACATGAAAAGGTTCAGGAGGATGGCATTGGGCTCGCAGGAATATGGTGCTAGTAGTGAGTACAGTGAGCCCACCAGCGAATATGGTTTATACCCTTCTGGCTCAAGCAATGAAGGCCAAACGACCCGGGAAATGGAGATGGGAAAGATGAAGAAGAATAGCCAAGGCTTTAGCGGAAATTCAACCTCTTGACGATAATATTGCCACATTTCTTTGTAAAGGCCCCATTCCTTTTCTTTTTCATACTATGACTTGGATGTCGCAGTGATTGCAAAAACTGGCGTGTTTTTTCATGAGATAACACACAAATTTTTATCCCTATAATTTTTTAAATCAAGGGTTTTTGATTGATTTGTATTTATTAGTGATTCACAAAAAGTAAATAATGGATTCATTTTGGTAGATTATTTTTATTTGTTGCGTAAATGTTAATATCAATTTGGTTTGCTGAGACCTTACTTTCTACATTGATTTGTTGTTAATTTTTTCCTGTCAGCATGCTTGGATTCCTTTGTTCGGTGGGTGACATTAGAACCTAGCTAGCTTGTTAGCATTTAAATCAAGTTTCCAGCTAGGACTCACCATCTTTTTTTTCTGACAAAGAAAAACCAAATCTAAGGCTTAAATGTCACGCTCACTTAACTAGAAACGGGATAGATTCAGTTCATGCTGTCACGTTCCATTACAGAAATTATTGAAAACGAGAAAAGTGGCCAGCACTTTGTGGGCTGTGGTCCTCTCTGGCCTGGCCTCAAAGACATTTCAGTGCCTACCCAACAAACCTTACCATCTAGCCGTTGATTGCCAACCAACTCCGAATTCTCCTGTACTGTAAAAAACAATTACCGACTCTTACAATTCCTTCCCTATTAAAAGAGTAGACAACACATTCATTCAATCTCAATATGCCTAGGAACCAATGTTTTTTAAGGATCCCACAATTATGATTAGTTGATAAAATTGGATTAAGGAATTAATTTCTAAACGTTTATGGAAGAAAAGTTCAATTATTCATCATCCTATTCATGTATTCCTAAACAAATATTTAATCCAAAATTAGAAATTTTTTTTTTAAATTTATCTTTAGATTATGATTAAAAAAAAACAAAAGCCTACTATTACTTCTTATAGCATGACCCGTTAACCCAAATGAGAGTAAATTTGGTTTGGATTTCCTTAGCCCAATCCCATTGACAAACCTAACCCAATTCAATTTGGTTTAGTTGTAAGTTAAGGAAAACGGGGGGTTACTTTCGGGATACAAAAGATCAGGACAGGCAAACAAGGTTGTTAAGACCGGTGCTTGCGTGTTTTTCTGAACGCTTCTGTTCTGTACTTTCGTTTCACTCAATCATTTTGATTTTTTTTTTGTTTGTTTTTTAAAATTTTTACTCATTTTGTAACGCAAGGGAGAAAAAAAAAACAGATAAAAATTTGATCTAATTTGTCCTGAATAAGATCCTAAATGAAAAAAAAAAAAATCCCAATTCTCCCAAAAATTCAGAAGCTTTGAATGAAAAATGGCTTCTGGAAGACGCATGCTTCTCAAGGTCATAATCCTTGGTGACAGCGGGTAACTTTTCCTTTAAAAAAAAAAAAAAAACTTACTAATTTCTCCCTTTGTTTTTGGACAGGGTTGGGAAGACATCTTTGATGAATCAGTATCCTTGAATTTCGTGATTCAATTCTTTATATTTTGATAAATAAAGTCTAATTGCAATGTTTAATTACCCTCACATTCTGGATTTTTAGATATGTTAATCGCAAGTTTAGTAATCAGTACAAAGCGACCATTGGAGCGGATTTTTTGACGAAAGAGGTCCGGTTTGAAGATAGGATTTTCACATTGCAGGTTGGAAATTAATTTCCCAGTGATCATTTACTAGTATTTTTTTAATTGATTATAGATTTCTCAAATTATTTTTGCTACTAATTTTAACTGTTAGTAATGAGTTTACATCCAATGATAATTTTAACTGTTAGTAATGAGCTTACATCCAATGATGATGATGAACTTAAAACAAATTTGAATTAATGTTTCTGTACTAACCTTTGGAACAACTGGAATTTAATGTTTCTGTCAAAATAATATCATTTGTCTGAACCACTTTTCAACAGTCTTGTTTTGCCTGAATTCAACCCTTTAAGACTGTAATCAGCCGATTTTGAACAACTCTGTTGGATATGGGATACGGCAGGACAGGAAAGATTTCAAAGCCTAGGTGTGGCATTTTACCGTGGTGCGGACTGTTGCGTGCTAGTTTATGATGTGAATGTCATGAAATCATTTGATCACCTCAACAACTGGAGGGAGGAGTTCCTGATCCAGGTAAAGGTTTTTACCCTTTAGCATTCCCTTGATTCCTGTTTCCTTTTTATCGCTTACTCAGTCTTTTCCTAATGAGATCTTATCCAGGCTAGGCCTACCAATCCGGACAATTTTCCTTTTGTCATATTGGGTAACAAGGTGGATGTTGATGGTGGTAATAGTCGAGTGGTATGATAATCTTCCTCCTTTCAACATGTTTTTTATATATTTATAAGTTAATATAAGATGTTATCTCTTATCATGAACAATTACCCTATCTAGGTGTAATTTGATTCGCTTGTAATCGTCAATGCATAACATTAGCTGCTCATTACCATTTTCAGGTGTCTGAGAAGAAAGCAAAGGCATGGTGTGCCTCCAAAGGAAACATCCCTTATTCTGAAACGTCTGCAAAAGAAGGTTTCAACGTGGAAGCTGCCTTCCAGTGTATAGCCAAAAATGCTCTCAAAAATGAACCTGAAGAGGAAATGTGAGTATATTATTAAAAATCACTTTCTAGGTCGATACTAGAGTTATTCAACTGCTGTAAACCTAGCATGACATTCACTATTGAAACTTTGTCATTGATAACTATCTGCACTGTTATCAAACTTGGATTATGTTGTTGTGGGTCTATCATCATTGGACTCTTCTCCCTTCCGTTTCCTATCATCTATTTCAGCATGAATGATGCCCCTAATTTTACTGCATTGATGGGTTTAAGACTTATTTCATCTTGTTTGAACATCCTCCATTATTGAATTACTCTGTTATTTTGTCTCAAAGATACTATATGCCTTTTTTTTTTTTTTTCTTTCTTAGTGTTATGTTCTGATGCTTTTCCTTTTTCTATTTGAAGTACTTTACCTTTTAATTCATTTAAGCTTTGCTGGTTTCTATTATTACGATGACAAGTTTCTGTGTTTGATTTCACACACACTAATACCAACCTAGTTAGTTAATTCATTTAACTTTGTTGATGAAGTTATCTCCCGGATACCATAGATGTGGGTGGAGGACAGCAGCAAAGATCTTCAGGTTGCAAATGCTAAGAAAACAACTTCACAAATGTTATTTTATATACACTTTGCACCACTCTAGAAGTAAGGGAAGGTTATTCGAGTCATTTGAATATTACATTTGCTCAGAGAAAATCATCTGATGATACTTTATTAATTCATTATATATTTCTAGTAGAATATTTTCATTTTCCTTTCCATTTGTTGTTTCAGCTTTTATTGTTTGCCCCTCTGGTATTCAGTTGTCTATGTTTTGAGGTTACTTGCATTCGATGGTTTGATCATTTCTTTTAATTCGTTAGTGTGGCAATTTCCTTTCATTTCATATAGGAAGTACCATCACTTATTGAAATATTGAATGAAAAAAAAAAAAAAAGAGGAGAAAATTTCTGGCACATGCTACGCAGCTACTTGCAACGACCACGTCGTTGAGATATTGACATGGCCTACTAATCTCGTTACTACGTAAATTTGTGTCATTAAACCAAGAAAAATGCTACTGATCTTACATATATGAATTCAAAATTAACTCTTATGGGTGGCACCGCTGTCAAAACTTTGAAATTATAACAGTAGAGGCGTAATATTGTGAAAAGAGACAAAAGTTGCTCCAAAAAATCTATCCTCAATTATGGATTAGCCAATCGACCAGAGCCAGATCGCCTTCGCCGCCGCCGCTTTTGTCGAATCCGCCAAATGCTCAAAAATAGTAAAAAGCCTAAAAAAGAGCAGAGACATTAATCAAATTACTAGGCCAAAAAATGCAAGATTTATTTCAAAATTAGAATACATTCACCAACCTGTAACTGCAACTACTGCAGGTACAAGCCAATGACTAGCAACTAGTTCAGGCACATCCAGCTGCAAACGAGAAGGAAGTTTATGAGTCTTTAGATTTAATGTATGAAAAGAAAGAATCAGTTACACCAAATCTTCTTCTTCTTACCTCGTCTCTGTACAGCAGCCCCAAGTACCTGTTTCCCAAAGAATCACCCTTATTTTTCTCTGTAAACTTGGGACGCCTTGATCCAGTAGTATCAAAAGTGGAATTTAAGCCCCTCCCCAAGTCAATAACATGATAGCCCGGCAGCCTTTTGTTTCTTCCCCTAACGTGTAAATTGTATCCTTTAGTTCCCCACACTTCAAATCTAGAGTCACTTCGACAGACTAGATCCTTCCCCATGACGGCAGAATACACAGAGAAATTTACATCGGTTCTTCTAGTTGGTAAGTGGCTGTCATCTTCATACACTGGCATATCTTGCTTAACAGACTCTGAGAAAAGCACTGTATCTTTAATATTTGAACCAGTGAAATCCAATATTTTTCTTAGAAGCCAGTAGCAATTAGTAACCATATGGCTGCTGTCCAAGCAGTTCGAGTCTCCATACACAGCAATGCGACCTTTGCCAACCTCTAACAGGCCAAGGATAGGAGAGTCTGCCTGCATATGCCAAATAGATCCCATCATTTCAACGTTTGCCAACCATAAATTATTAAAAAGATGAAAATTTCATGTGTACTGAAATAATCTAATTGTAGGTATGTAGATGAGTGGAAGTGTAATTGGGAAGGGGGAGGAGGATGAATGATGCTCCATGAGTCAAAACAAAAAAAAAAAGAACAACTATGTCCAATCACCTTGTTCACGCCAGAATTTAGCAGCACATTTTGAGTGGCCCCACTTTCTGAGCTATCCAAAAAAGGAAAGCTGTGTACAAACCCGCCTCTTGGGAACCTCATTAGATCTGTTCCAGATGCATATCGACTCTGCTCACCATCAATAGAAAAATCACCATTCAAAATCTTATCCCCAAAAGCAATCCCAAATGGTTCCAAAAGATCATTTAGTGCTGGAATATTTGCACCTCCAGTTACTGGTGTCCACCAACTCCTTGTGTTGTCATCAAAAAATCTCATTTTGACCATTGTGTCCACATTATACCACTCAGCAAACACAGCCAACCCCAACCCAGTATTAATAACATCACTCCTGAGCTTTTCAATCTCTTCTTGAAAGTACTCATCCTCAAGATCAACCAGCAAAAGTGTCCCATATTGGCTAGCATCAAAGCATGTAAGAGGAGAACCAAGCGTCTCAACATAATAGCCAGTGTCTCGCAACATGTTGAACATAATGTGAAAATTTGTATGCAGGTGATCCCCATGCCAATCAAGAATGTCATTCCGCACATCCAATGAGTCTCTTGGAATATATCCAGGAGGATATTTAATACTGTGAAACTGATCCCACAAAACCCGTTTTGATCGTGGTGGGGTTGGAACCACATTCAATTTTAACTGAAGCACACAAGTACTACTTCGAGCAGCCTTCTCTCCTTGGGCTGGAGGACTGTATATTCTAATAGTTACATTGCCCTCAATCACTCCAGAAAAATGTGCACCTTCTTCCTTAATTTGCATGTGCAGTGCTAAGTAACCAGTCCAAGGCCAGATGACTTCTGAATAAGTAAAGTGAATGCTTAGAAGATTCCCTTCCTCATCCGAAGGATGCCATGTCGGTGGACTCTGAACATAGCCAATGACACCCATCCCATTCAGAATAGTAGCATTGAATATCACAGGCATGGCACCGGCATAGAGTGGTTGATGACAAAAGGGCCAGGAATAGGGACAATCAGTATAATCAAGAATATTAGGGAAGATGCTTGCTCGAGGTCGATAGCTCTTCAGAATTTCAAATGATTCTAATCTGAAAATGAAATAAACATAATCAGAGCTGCTTTTACTGGAACTGGAAATGCAGATAGTCAGAATAAGAATAGCAAAAAAACCAGTAATTAGCACACTAAATAGATGTAAAAGAAATAATTCTCAATGTTTAGAGGAGGGAGAAGCCATGTGATTGATGAACTTACAAATCTACTCTCCCTGCACCCTGCTCATACATGTTAGGACCAGCAAGCTTAGCAGCACCCTCAACCAGAGCCTGTTTCATACTAGCAGGATTTAGTATCTCCTTTCGTTTGTTCTCAGGAATGATACTGACAAGCAGGCATACAACACCAGCAACCACAGGACTCGCCACACTAGTGCCTGATAAACTTTTACATCCAGTGCTGATCTTGGATCCCATAATTTCCCGTCCATATGCCACAACATCTGGTTTGACACGACCATAACTGCAAAGAGAATTAACCAAGCTAAATCTTCATGCATTAATCAGCATAATAAAGCTTTTTTGTTAAGGGAAATATACATGGAGCATCATAACAAAAAGAAAAAGTCAACATGACTATGAAAATTTAAAGCCTTCATAAGATCAGCACTAATAAGAAGGGATAAGTGACATGTGTCGATACCTAGACCTGAACACATTTAAAGAAAACAAAAAGTAAAGGGGTTACATTAATAAGAAGCTTTACTCCAAAATTAAACATATTTAAGTTTCATTGTTGCCAATACAACCCAACCAAAAATTGAGTCAAGAGCCAGGAGAGGTGGGCTAGCTTTTTTTTTTTTTTTCTCTTAAAAAGAAAAAGATAGAGGGCTAGAAGAGGTATTGCATAAAAAGAAAAATCACTAAGCAACTTAGGTAGTTTATCAAAGTGGAGAAGAAAGAGAGAGAAACAGTACTGGAGCATTTACTGATTCAAAACCCAGTAAGATAAATATAAAATTACTTGATAAGTAAATATCATAGAATAGAATGATATGCTACCCATGAGGAATCTCCCAAGTACTCATGCCCCGCGATGAAAATGAGGCAATGTGATCACTATAATCGATGCCACCAACACCAATAACATCACTTTGGTCTGCTGGATTGTTTAAAGTGCCGTAAAGTGGCCCATCATTTCCAATGGCTGATACCATAATAATATTATTGGCTGTTATTTCCCAAACCTGGAGAAGCATAAAGAAGCAAACATTAAACAAAAAGGGTTCAGCTGCATCATATTAAAAAACAAAGAAAAAGGTATGCAAAAGTGTATGTGCATACAAAAATTGGAAGTTTCAGCACTAAAGTGGACAACCTCAAAAGTTGATCCTTCCCTATTTGGAAATAAATGTCAAAAGAAGACAAGCAATCTTCTTCGAAATGTAAAATATTAAAATAGAAAGTCAACTCATTGAATTTGAATGATCATGGCATGGATCATCGAATTTAAGAGAGGCCATAGAAGCTTGATGGAGGCAAGTAAATGCATTGAATACACTCATAAACCTAGCAGAATATTCAATAACTTTGATAAAGAAATGAGCCACATGATTGATGCATTTCCATGTGCTACTAAAAACAAAATTAGGGGCACAGTCAATAACATACAAAAATAGTGAGACAAAAGTACAGCAGAATAAAACCAACATTTTGCAGTCCAAAATATCAAATGATGGTTGACATGTTGGCCCCAATAAATCCACGGGCCATGGGAGTTTTACCTTCTCTACAAATGGGAGATCCAAGTAATCAGGTCCACCTATGCTCAAGTTTAGCACATCCATGTTGGTTGCAATAGCATAGTTGAAAGCATCAAGGAACCAGGATGTGTATGATACCTGCAATAAGCTGAGGACAAAATTCTCATAATCTAGCAAAATTTTATAGAACTTCAGATTTCTGTAATGCATGCTTGGCATTTTCAAATAGATAACCAGATAAAATACAGAGGAAACCATGGGCAAAAAGGGTGTAATTAGTAAAGACAAGGTGCAAACTTCCAATCACAATACAAAAACACAGAAAATTTCAAATGCCGATGTGTGTTACCTGTGCATCAGTAAAAACACGAAAAGCATAAATCTCAGTATCCGGTGCAAAACCAAGACATTCTGCGTCCTCACCAGCAATAACACCAGCCACAAATGTCCCATGTCCAAGGTTATCATTCAAAGTATCCTCATTAGTCCAATTAGTACGTTCCTGAAAAATTTGCTCTCAAGAATGAATATTAAAGCTCCCGATCAAAGCCGCATTATTAACTTGGTAAAACAAATGTCATTTTCAATGAGAAATTAATTTCACAAAAACAAAAGTTTAAAGAACTCCATTTTCCCACTAACGATATACCTTAATGTTTCGAAAATGAGGGTGATTAGCACGTATTCCAGTATCAAAAATAGCCATTTTTACTTTAGAACCAGTATACCCCTTTCGCCAAAGAGCATCCGCTCCGAACAAGGAAGTAACTTGAGACCTCTGCAACATCAAAATATGTAATTCCATAACTT